TTCCGGGCAGCCTTTTAGAAACTTATATTCATTGTATAGCAACGAAACTTGGCACACATATTCTTCAACACATGCAGAATGCAAATATCTACTCTAAATTGCAATGCCTACCAGCATTAGTTGTGAAAATATTAGCTTATTGTTTCAAGGGAGATTGCAAATAATAAGTCATTCAATACAATTTTTTTTTTCTTGGTTCCAATATTTCTGTGACATATCTATATAGATATTTGCACTTTTCAATCTACCAAGAGTCAAATAAGATCAGACACAGTGCTTTTACTGAAAGTTTAGTACATAAAAGAGTGCCCGCAAAAAATGTAACGTTTTGCTATTGTTTATGGCATAACTCAATAATTATAGCAGCTACACAAAAAATGATTGCATATTTGAAATCTGCATGAAAAACTATACTAATAACAAACTTTTCAAGTCTCTATTACTAGAAATAAAAAAAAACTTTTTCGAGGAGCGTCTCCCCTTAAGGGGGGATGCTACACCTTCCAAAAACTCTTTTATTTTTGCGAGTACCTCAGTCAAATTTGGAGAGCCTATGTAGATTTTACTGCTGATTTCAAAAATCTAATTCTTTTTTTGCTGTGACAATTAGTTTTAAAGATACAATGAACTGCGACTTTTTCAATTAAGGCCTAATTAGCTAATTAACTGTAACTTGGATATTGATGTGCAACCTACAGAACCAATTCGGTATGTTTACAGTGTGCAATAAAGTATAAATCATTGTTCTGGGCTATTTCGAAGCAAAGTTGTGGGATGTTGAATATCACATGAAAAATTTCCCCATCTACACTTGAAACAAAAGATCCATTTAGAGAATTTTCTCCACAAATTATTACAATAAAACTTGCTTTACGACACATCCCCTGCATTTATCTTCGAAACAAAAAAGAAATCGTAATGATAACCCAGATAGAACAAGAGATATTGCTCCAGCATAATGGGAAGCACATGAAAATTGTCGTTTTGAGAAATCGAGAAAAAACGTGGGCACACATTTTTATTGCAGAAGATGCAACAAGACAACCTCAAAACGCACCAGAAGCATAGTCTGAATGCATTCTGTGCTCATGCCTCCTCTTCACTAGCTTCCGGAGTTCCAATGAGGCTGTTCTTTTCTTGTTGGAGACAATGGTACGACGGTGGTCTTTTTCTCTCGCTCTCCTGGCACCAGTACTTGTCGCATTCATGTCCATTTCACCTAAGATTGCCGTTGCAGAATTCAAATTGCCCGTGTTGAAGCGCAGCACTGCTTCTGCAACAGCTGCTTCAACAGCGAACAGGGACGCATGGTGCTCCTTGGGGGCCAAACTCCAGATTACCGAATGTAGGCTCTCGTTGGAGTTCTGCGTTTTGCCGCGTTTGCACCTCTGAAGCAGGGCTCTTTCCGAAAGCCGGGTATAAACCGGTAGTAATGCCTCTGCCACGTCTTTCGGTAGATTGTAGGCATGCCTGGGGTCGGGCTCACCCTTTGCTTTTGCGGCATTGTGCCGACACCATGAAGTTTCACCAGCTGGGCACAGACTGTGGTCCGAGCATTCATCAGTGGAGGTGACGTGGCGGTATGTGGCCATCACAGCCTTTTGCATCTCGCCCACGTCACCTTCATGCGATTTCAGAGCCCGGCCATAATATGTGCTCAGCCTGGTGATCAGCTCACCTGTGAGCCTGCCTTTCCCACCAAGGCCTCTTTTCCCATCGCACTTTTGTTTCTGCACCAGGTTTCTCAATGCGGTGCCCATCCGTTTCTGTACATGATTAATACAGTCTTCCTTCTGCACGTCAATGTAACCATACACCTTGGCGTCTTGTATGGCGCAAAATGTCCTAGAGTCTCCATCAGACAGCATAGTTGTGTAGCGCAGGCCATGGCGTTCAAGCGACCTCTGAAATAGAATTAGAGCCGCTTCCACTTCCATTTGCCCCGCTTTGCTGTTCGTATTTTTTTGGCATTTGTGGTTAGCCTTCCATTCTTGATAGCCCTCACTACTAGGCTTTGGGCCCACCTCGCAGCCTAGGCAAAAGTTGGAAAGAACGACGTAGTCCAACACGTAGCCACTAAATAATTCGATAACTGTGCCCACGCCGATGTGGGAAGAATGGCCTCGCCTCTTCCACGTGCCGTCGTAGCTAACGGCAATATTGCCCCGGTGGCCGAAGCACAAGTCATCATAAATTGTTCTAACCTTTTCCGCACATTCGCTCATAGCGGACTCAGCCGCTCGCGTTGCAGCGGGTGCCAGCGTGTTCTTCAAATGCCGCTGAAACGTCTTGTGGTGCATACCGCGGTGTGAGATGCCCATTGTTGCGAAAATATCGTTCATTTTCGTTTGGCCGTTGCCGGTAGCCACCATCGCCCTCGAAGCGAGAAGATTTACTTCAAACGGATTGCACGTTTTCGTGCCGTTCGCGCGGGGCGAAGTCCATTCATTCGCGATCTCGCCGCACCTTTCACACTGCACTAGCACTTTCACGGCAAGTCCGTAGTCCCGATCCCCTCCGACGATCGTAGCCGGTCCGTGGCAGGCTTTGCAACACAAGGCACCCATTATCGCGTTTAGGATATCTAGATGCATAAGCAGATAAGGAGCAGCGTGGTCCGAGTCCTGTGCGGTTGCCTCGCTACAACTCGCGGTGAAAAAGTCAATTTTCCGTGCAGTTGCTGGCGCCGATGAAAGCCGGTCGAGCGTCGCTTTCTCCCGGGCATGATTTTCTTCAACTTCGGCGTTTGTCACCACCTTGGCGTCGATTCGTAGTCGTCCGGAGTTCGCTTCACCGTCATCGTCGTCGGAGGCAACGCGCTCGGTCGCACCATCGCTGAACGGCCGCGGAGCGTCGACACATCGTTCGTCGGAGTCAACCAAGGGCTCTGATGACTTCATAGACTTTCTCCCACGACCTTTGCGTTTCCTGCGACCAAATGCGTGCACGGTCCGATACTTTTTTGCGTTTCCAGGCATGGCGATACGATCAGAAGCTTCAGAGTGCTCTGCCGATTTCGAGGCGTCACAGCGGTAACCCTTTCAAAATGGCGTCGGGTCGCGTATGCAGGCGCAAGCCGCGAGCTTCCAGCCAACCGGAAAGCGCCATTTCAGTCACGTGCGCTGTTTAGCCAATGGCAGTGAGCGCGGCTCTTCGTCTTTGAGGCCTCGTTTTTCGAGCCGAGGAAACGCTCAATGTTGCTTACCGAATAAAAAAAAACAGCTGAAAACGCGTTCATTCAAACAAGACCAAAATGGCGCCGATCGAGCGCGTAGTTCCCGCATATCGTAGAGCCGAAACCTGCGCTATTCGCCCTCAATTTAAAGGGCAGGACGCCCGTTTTCGGTTTTTTAAAGTTGAATAACGATAAAAGTTGATGATATTCGGCTATGAAATTTTGTAAATAGGTGCGCAATGATGTCGGGAACGCGAAAAGAAGGTCCGCGAAAACTCGATTTTTTGACTGATTTTCGGTCCCGAAGTGCCGCGTCCCCCCTTAAGCATATTCAGTGTGTGGAGACATTGCTGATCGGACTGTAACCACATCTCTAAGATTCGAACGGTCGTTTTCTCTGGAATAATATTGCCGTCTAGCTTGACCTCAAGTCGGAGGCTTGCGTCTGTCCTTTGTTTTTTACTCTTGGAGAACCGAATGTGTTCCGATTTGTCTGCTGAGCACTGAAGTCTCCTTTCTTTAGTGTACTCTTCGACGGTTTTAGCTGCCAGTTGAAGCCGTTCTTTTTCTGCCAAGCTACCCTTGGTAGTCCATACAGTGATGTCATCCGCATAGAAGGAGTGTCGGATGTCGGGAATGTCTTCGAGTTTTTTGGCGAGACCAATCATGGCTATGTTGAAAAGTGTAGGCGAGATCACAGCGCCTTGTGGTGTGCCTTTGCTCGGTGGGTGGAAGACATTGGATTCGTCTTCTCCTAATCTGATAACAGCAGTTCTTTTAGTAAGGAAGCTCTGCACATATTTGTACGTCCTTTGATTGCAGTTTGTCGCTGCTAGTCCATCTAATATGGCCTTATGGCTTACGTTGTCCAAAGCGCCTTTTATGTTGATGGCCATGACAATGTTTTCTCCTGCTTTCGGAACATTTGTTAGTACTTCCTCCTTTAAAAGCAGAAGGATGTCCCGTGTTGAAAGGTTCGAGCGGAAACCAAACATGGAGTTTGGCAACAAGTTATTTTGTTCAAGGTGCCGTTGAAGTCTGGTATTTATTAATCTCTCAAACACTTTGCCTAAGCACGAGGTAAGAGAGATTGGCCTGAGGTTGCCAATTTCTTTCCTGGTTTGGGTATCATAATTATTACAGTATGCTTGGCATGGGCAAAGAAAATACGTCACGCGTGCCTTGTGAGTTTGAGCACCCCCCCCCCCCCTGTTTTCCCCCCTCAAATACGCAACTTTTTTAGTGTGATCGTCGTGCACGCATGGACGAGTCGCTGCCTCTTGCAGCGATCCCTATAACGACCGAGTGCACCATGTTCAAATCAGCCAATAGCTGATAGATGGCCTTCTACGAGTGATTTTTGAGCTTCTGTTTTTGGTCAAGAGAAAAAAAAAGCAATTTTTAGTTGACTGATAACTTATTGAGAATGCCAGGCTGCGTGCTGCGTAACAATATTTGGCTCGCATGTTCTTGGGAGCCTCTACTACTGATCGGCAGCATTTCTGACCATGCTGAAAAAGTGTTGCAGGGCCCTTAAAAAAAAAAAGAATAAGGAACGTGTTTCTTGCTGCTGATGCAAGAGTTGGTTCATCTACAAGAATTTGGATATCCCAATTACAAACTGCAGCCATCAGTTATGGTGTAATACGAGCGACAGCATGCAGTGATTGTGTAGAGCTTCATATCAATTCCAACTGCGTTTTCCTAGCGTGGACAAAAATCCCCACCACCAACTGATTCTGTGTCAGCGCTCGCTAAATACGACACCAAACGGTGAAGAGCGGAGCGTAACATTCCAGATGCAGGCAGTGTCCATGACTCTTACCTCCAGTGTTTCTCCACTCTTCTGCTGAGGGCAATCTTCTCCCCGATTTCAGTGCAGACCGGACTGGTCAAACTGATCTTTGCTAAATCTGCCTTCACGGCCAGAACACGGCCTCCCGTGGACAATGAGCCAATGTTCACCATGAGAACCTCGTTCTTGGACAGCTTTTGCACCTGCGGGTGAAAAGCATTCGATTGATATTATGCAAGTACAGCATGGTCTGGATGATTCAAAAATTTTTTTTTACTCGTTCTAAGTGATGGGTAATGCAATCTGCATGGCTGAGTCTAAGGAAGGTGTGCATATTGGAAAAAAAAAAAGACTTCGGCAAACTTAAAGTCCCAAGAAATGCTCAATGGGTACATTAAATACAATCTCTTGCACTTGCTCACACAGCATGTGCCTTTAGAGATAGAGGTAATGTAACTGTCAACAATACGCATGCAGGAGGAAAGTCCACCCAAAAATGACGAGCGGTATCAATTCGCTGGCTGCCACAAAAAAAGCCACAAAAAAAAACATCACACAGCAGGACTTATCTGCTTTCCTACCACTTTAAAACATGCGTGAATGACGTATTCAGACAAAAGTGGGAGACAAAAAATTGTTTACAATGAATGTGGGTCACTGCAGGTTTCCACACATCGCTTGAGGGTTCCATGTTTTGAAAGTGCAGAGTAAATCAGAGAATCCATAGTACAGATTCATTTTGATCCCTTGAGGTTCTATGAACTTTTAAATATGAGTTAACATTGTACGTCAACTGCTCTGTCAACAGAAATTGCTTAATCAAATTACTGCCTAATTGGAACAACTACCTCTAATATGATTGGTTTAGTATTAGTTGAATTCTGCACCTTTGTTCATCTCTCCATAAGTGGCATCACTGTTAAACAGAACCTACTATTTTCGTTAAACAGAACCTAGTATTTAATGCCTACTGCACATGAGCGTTTATGCTTTTCCCCTTTGTCGCAATGCAGCTGGAAATCGCACCAGCTACTTTGATAACAACCACACATGCATGCTTGCCTTCCTATCTGCTATCGCACCCTTCTCCCCCATTTCGTCTCACCTTGGCACCCTTCTTGTCGCCCTCCGTGCGGACACCGAGCAACCGCCTGAGCAAGAAGTACGAGATCTCCAACTCGATGTAGATGTCCGGCAGAGCACCCACAGCACCCAGCACCTGGCCCACCATACGGTCGGCTCGCGACAGGGTCGGGTCGATCTTAGTACCCACACCTGCCATGCGCACACGGAAGAATAAGTCTCTCATATCCACAAAACATAGGATATTAAATAAGAGGTACGGTGATTGACACTCAGCACCTTCCCCACTAGCCATGTGCTACAAAAAATCTGAACCTTAAAAAAGAAAGAGAGAAAAAAAAACAAGAGCTGGCGGAAGGACACACACGACACTGGCAAGATTCGCTGCATGAACAAAAGAATTCCAAGAGAGAGGACCCGCCGTCTCAAAACTTGAAGGCTTCAGTTCTAGTGGATTGTAGGCTCACTCACATTTGCCGTACCTAGTGAGCAGGTGGCAATATAGGAGACCTTTTCCATAATCAGCAATTTCCCTTCACTGCAGTGACCATTTGCCCAACTAATCGCAGCACCTGTTGTGCTTCAAATAGAGAAAAGGTCCTAGTTGGGCAATCTGAGGCTTCGTGCGCTTATACCAAGAAAGCAGTGATCATGAAAGACATTTTCCACGTCAGAGGGCAAACCAACAGCGCTTGAACACGCTGTTTGTGGAAGTGGTTAACTGCCACTAGTTGGGCTAACTGCATCTCAAGAATGCAGTTTTACAATTATAAAAGAGGTCTACAACTGAGGTTTTATTCCCCAAAACTATATATATAACATGATTGTGAGGGACGCCATGATGGGAGGTTTTGGGAACTTCAAACATTTGGCATTGTTTAAAAGGGCCCTGCAAAACGTTTTGAGCATAGTTAAAAAACACGGTCGACTGGTAGTCAGGGCTCCAGAGTCAACACATAGTGCAGCCCCCGGCTTGAAACCACAACTAATTTGCAAAGCTAGTAGGTAATTATTGCTTCTTCACACTACAAATGAGGCCATTAGCCCAAATGACTGCGCCATACACCTGAAGTCCACAACCATAGGCTCATTGAGCATTGTGGGCTGCAGAGTTACTGCAAATGGATGTATGAATGTCACAAATACTACGAAATATTCAGAAGAACACACTGCATGTGCAGTGCAAATTTGAAGCGTAATAATGCGGAGCAAGGATTTATTTATTTAGTGGCATCATCTAGTGTCATGTTAACGAAGTGAAGTTCATAGGCTTCTGCAACAACCGAAAAAAGTTCTGCAACTCGCAAAAGCTCCCCCCCCCCCCCCACCAAAAAAAAAGAAAGCTGGTGCATGTGGCTTCTCCTCAAACCAAAATGACAAGATCCAGGGTAAAATCCCTACGTTGTTGGCAATAAAAATTTGTTATATCAAGAGAGCCTCCCGCTGCCACTTTGTAACATGGAAGTTTCAAATATATGTGCTTCTATGGAGTAATGGTAGGGAATAGAAAAACTTTTTGATATCAAAGAATTCATATTATGGAGGTTCATATAAGCCTGTGCATTACAAAAAAAAATTAATGGAAACATACAGTCAGTATGTCAGAAGCATGCCTACGCACACGTGGAAAAGTGAAACTGTTCGAAGATCTGCGACAAATTGTGGCAAAGGAACACCCACTTGCTTTGCCCGCTTGACTTGTCCATAAGTGCAATTAACTTGGCTGCTTGACACATACATCAAGGACAAAAGAATGGGGTACGCACCAATTAGACCACCTGGCACGGCATACATGAGGTCGTTCTGCTCCGTGCAGAGAGAGAGAATGCGAGAGAAGATGGGCTTGCAGAGCAGCTTTCCCTCATCATCCTTGGACACAATGCCAGGCCGCACTTCAATCTCCTGGCCAACCTGGCAAGGAAACCGAGATCGCCATGCAGTCAAACATGTACTTCACGTTGGAACAATCGGCAAATGTTAATGCACATATAGAATGAAACAAAGCCGTAAGACACACACAGTGTTTCAGCATTTGCCCTTCCTCACTGATAGCGCTGCCGATAATGAAGAACCACTATATGACATTCCCGAAGAATTTTCATGTCTCAAACGCTACAGCAGACAGCAAACATGTACAGTGTAAATACAGTAAAACCTCATTCATTCGAACTCAGTTATTTAAAAATCTCGCTTAATTCGAAGGATTTATAAGGTCCCGTATTTTGCAATATAAGTTTGTGTGGATACTTCGAAGCGGCGGTCAGTACCAGTACGATTAAATGGAAACTTTGGGAGCCATGTGCTAATTACCGATCCCAATTCCGCTGCGAATATGCGGCTCTTAGAGAGAGACAGAGAGAGAGAGAGAGAGAAGAACGAGGCGAAGTCGGTTTTGTAATCAACTTGAATGTGCACCTGCAGAAAAAAAGACATGCTTCACTGCACCACAGCGATGACATGCGGGCAGCACGCCATGCTCCTCGCAACGTCAGTGCATCATGATTTAACGTAAAGTGCTTATTTGGACTGGTTTGTTCTTTCGCTTAATTGATGATTTAACCATTATTTCTTGTAATATAACGAAACTAATAAAGGCCAGTCTCATACAATTCGCGATGTATGCGAACTTCCCATTGGCGGTTGCTCCAGCAATTTGCGCACTTGCACTGCTGGCGGAGTTCTCGTCTACAATGCCTACTTCGAAAACTCAGTTCAAAACACTTCAATGATTATGTTTCCCAGCCAAAACATATCACGAATTCGGTCCCACTGAACATTATGAATTCTTCATTTTACCAAAAATAAAGGGCAAATGGTCGCATCATGAGGTGCTGACAATGCGAGGTGCAGATGACAAGCTGCCCGCGTGTCGCCACTGTGTTGCAGTGAAGCACACCATTTCTTCCGCAGGTGCACATTTTAGTTGATCATGACTTTTTTTTTTCTGTCGCCGGCAGCAGCGTTGCAGACCATTCACCGCTGTTGGCGGCAAAATTGGGCCCTGGTATTGCGGGAAGACATAACCCTTGGAGCTGCGAACTAGCTGGCACAGCAAGCGACCACCTGTGATTACTTTCAATAATTCAAAGTTCCTTGCATACCACTTTTTGAATGTCTCGTTATTTCGATAACCTGCTTGATTCAAAGATTTTTCATAGAACCAATGACTTTAAATTTATATAACTGTATGTTATAGTGGAGTAGCATCAGAACCATGAATTAGTCCTACATCAATATTGTTTGAAATGGCAGAGGTAGTAATCGCTCGAACAAAACAGCAATGTGGCTCGAGCAAAAAGGGCAGATACAAAAATGCTTAAACAGCGCATAACTATGTTTACTGCCACCTCCATGCATGAGAAGGCCTTTTTGAAATCAGCAGCTCCAGCTGTCGGGATTTTCTCCAAGTAGCGTTTCTGTCGCTTGCCCAAGTCCGTCGCACGCGTGCTGCTTACTTCAGCTGAAACTTCCCTATTTAAATCCAAAATTTTTGTTACAATCACATCTTACACAAAAATGTTACTGGGAATTGTCTTTCAATATTTATTCTGGTTTATATGATACCTTTGAATATTTGAGCCTAGCTTGAACCTAATATTTTTTACCGTAAAAAATATTAGTTGGTTTTCGTTATAGGAGGAATAAATGTCATTGACGTGAAGCATGGCAAACTAGAGTTTGTACTTAGTTCTTCATAACTGATAACTTGTTACATAAGCATTTGTAGGATGGCATTGCACAGTACTGATGCGTAGAAGGACAACATTGCATGCACCACCAATGGTGTTTTCCATGAGAGGTAGCCGATGCGGAGCCTCGAAGACATCCCCGATATCTGCACTTTCATGCCACTCCACTACCCCCCCCCCCCCCCCCCATTCTATTATCACTGTTGATGCTCTGTTTTGGTTTGATCAACATCGACTGTAAATCGGATCACCCGAAATGACTATCCTACAGAGAGCATTTCATTCAGTTTCAAATCATGGTGTCGTGATTAGCAATAGTGACTGCATGCATTTAGGTATGTCATACCACAGCCTCGAACAGTGCAGGCATCAAACACTAATGTGCAATAAACATTTTGTCGGCATGATTTGTCCCTCGAAAGCTCAAATTGAGCTGATGGCTAGCATTCCGAGAGGTACTATTTATGCCTTACCTTCAGCACTCCTCTCAAGATGGAGCCACCGGCAACGCCTCCTTTGAGGTCGTCGACTTCGCAGCCGGGCTTGTTCACGTCGAATGATCTAATAACTGCGTCAATTAGAAGAAACACAAAAAGCACACTCAAAGGAGTGAAAGAAATTCATAGCATATCCACGGCGTGAATGATGATGACCACAACACAACACATGGATGTGTGATGTCCACACCATGTAGTGATCACTTCACGCACTGCAACAGCACAGCGCCATCTAGTGAACATTGTAAGAAGTAAGGGGTGGTTACCACGGGGGAGGGACTGAGTCACAGTGTATGAAGCTTCGCCTCTAAAACAGAAACGTAAACAGTTCTCAACATCTAACAGCAGGAGCATGCTCAGTGCTACATGTTTGTCCAGATTGACAAATGACAAATTTTCTTATTGAGTGAGGCAATGCAGAGGCCGAATTGTATTACTACATGACTTAGTGCGACCAAAGCGTTCCCAACAACACTTCACACGTGAAAGGCGAAGATGCTACTTCCTCAGCCTCTCCTCCTCTTTCAACTTCTGTGGAAGCCCACATGATGTGGCAGACAAGGTTGTGCCCCTTTCGAGCTAGGAGTTACAAATCTGTCTCATAGATGTCAAGCTACAAGAACATATGAAGTTTTAGATGCTAAAAAATCTTTGGCATTCTATTTTTTTGACTTCCTGCCCGAATTTCAGGTCCAAAACAGCATTAATTGAACCCCCATCTCCCCTTCTACCTCGTCTATCGCCCTGTTGGAACAAGTGTTCTCTTGACTTAATACATTTACAACCGTAGCAAAACGTGAAAGGCAGCTGTGCCACAATAATAGGGTGTAATGAAGTGAAGCATATGAAAAATCCGAAAGCGTCTCTTTTAATCGTACCTCGGCTGCACTTGTCTTCGGGAAGTTCAAATAGTACAATTCGAGTGCGAATCGAATAGCAAACATTATTAAAAATAATTAGAAATTTCAATTTTTCGCACACCCTTAATATAAATTCCTAGCAGTGTGGCACTAGTTTGAGGGTGCTGCCAGGAGAGGTAAAAAGAAGTGATGTACCAATAAGGCGGGGCTCGGAGACGAAGTCCCGGAGAGGCATGGGAATCTTCTTGACAATATACTCGCAGATAACCTCGATGTTGTACTTCAGCTGAGCTGAAATGGGAACCACGGGTGCACCCTCGGCCACAGTTCCTAAAAAGAAATGTGCAGCACCGCGTAATTTCAGACTTTGATGGACTCGTTCCCGTTGAACAAACTGGTACCACCGTCTAATCATGACATGTTGATGAAAATGAAAAGACCACCAATCACACAGTGACATAATCGATCATGGCATTCACGAGTTGAAGAGGGATTATGCTTCAGAACTTCCACAGAAAGTTGCGCAAAGGTACATCATGATGCCCATTCTGAGTATGCTATGTGGTTCAGAAAGAATACTTTATTAGTCTCGATGAACTGATTGTTATTTTTTTCTGCCCCATTGACGTGAAGGAACAACAGAACAAATATCAAAGCCAGACGGAAAGCAATGTGTTATTGACACCTACCTTGCACAAACTTAAGGATCTGCTGATACTGCTCTTTGGCCTGAGACTCCTTTACAAGGTCAATCTTATTTTGAAGAATCAGGATGTGCTTCAGCTTCATGATCTCAATGGCGGCTAAGTGCTCCGAGGTCTGGGGCTGTGGGCAGGACTCGTTGCCGGCTGTCAGAGTGAAGTGAAACACATCGTCAGGCAGTATCACGTCACAAGGCCAAAAGAAAGTTGCAACGGATAACAAATGCGCTAAGAAAATACATGGTGCCACAGACCTTATATTGTCGCACTACACTGAAAAGCATTGAAATGTCTATGGGATTTGTTGCACACATATACAAAAATATGGCCTATTGCATGATTACATTCAAATGAGTACTCGCTAGATTTAGTAGATACCTATAACTTGGGCAAGTCAATCAGAATCTTTTTTTTTTGCCCCCCCCCCCCCTCCCCCATGTTACCCCATAGCCTCAAATATCTTGGCATGACACCTGGTAAGTAGAACCTCGTTGATACGTTTTCGAGAAGAAAAAAATGCGGAAGATAAACATGCGATCCGAATCCAGTAAAAATTCAGGTTGACCAAGTCCAAATAGAGGTGTAAGGGCAAAAAATATTCATTTCACAATAAAAGAAAAAAAAAACACCATAATTTCCTGCTGCCGCCTCTCACCCATGGAGAAGGAAAGCTCCTTCGGCACACATTGTAGACCCTTGTCCGCTTTTTCATTATTTTTCAGTTCAGCAACGGCTTTGGCAAACTTAGCCAGTTGGGGCATGCTTTCATTCTCGCCGCTGTCTTGTGATGCCTTGCCCCAAACCTCCTCCGTTGCGTCACCCCACACCACCTCCACAACAATCTCGGTGACAGTGTGCAGCATGCAAGTCGGGACGTTGCCATCTGTCGCGACGAACTCGGCGAACGGTGCATGGGCGCCAGAGCAGAGGAACTCCACATCGATGTCGCCGTGGAAGTCGGGCGCACCTGCCACAGGGTTGTCTTCGCTGCACTCTGTATCCTCCAATGCAAGCTGCCGCCAAAAACCACACTTCCTGAAACTGCTGCTAACCTTTTTTTTTTCGTCAGAGTGTCGCAAGAAGTGCAGCGCATCACGTCAAGCGATAAGTTCTCGGGGTCATCACCACGTGACACGCAAGCAAGGCAGCGCCAATCCAATCCAAGCAAAGCCAAAGTGGTAAGTGCACGTTGCGGCGTGTCAGTATGTTGTGTTCGTGCTGTGGTTATGCTATGGGGCGATACTGAAGCAACATGGCTGCTTTCAAGTTAAAAGTGATTGATCATGCACTATACAATGGCAGCACGGGCAGCTGAAACAACCAAAATGCACTGGACCTTCCGTTTGCTAAGACTGGGATGAATGGTAAAAGTTTAGTTTGACAGAAGGTAACTGCAGATGATTCCGTGTTTCATGGCTGTGATGCGGGTTCTTGTTGCTGATTTGTTTCTCCTGGTTGAGCCCCGGAGAGTTTTTCTAATAAGGACAAAGCCGTTTGCTTAACAAACAACACCTAAACATTTACTGCAGAACTGAAGCAAAACTCAAACACAAACTACAAGAAATGAGTAGCTGGCTAAAAGCGGGTTTTAGAAGGAAAACAAACATCTAAAGTCCCGAAACTGCCGACGGAAAGTCACAGCTACATGATGCAGTTCTGACGCGGTGATTCGGCGGTGCAGGGAAGAGAGCAAGTTCGATCTCACCAAAACGTTGCTGCTGTAATGGCGGCGACGGCGTGTACCGATGCTCGCTGGCGGCGACGATGTGTACCGATGCTCGCTGGCGGCGACGATGGAACGGGACTCGCTCGGTGATGCCTGTGGCGGCCCAGATTCGCCCGATGAGGTGGCTGGTTGCAAGGCTCAGGCCCGTGACCCGAACTGCCGTTGCTGCACCCGCACCGGAATCTGCAGGCCTTGGTCTCGACCGTTGAGGCAGCTCGCCGTCCTTGGAAGGCGTTGTCCGGAGGTCCAGACCGGGTGAAGTCCAGAAGGCTCAGGTCTGCCACCCGACTGCCTGTCTTCAGCTCCCAGCTGTGTCCTTCCTCTTGCCTCGTTCACCTCGAACTACTAGCTCTTTTGCCCTTCAGGATTGGCTTCCTCTGGGGCACACTTGTCTCGTCCCGATTGGCCTTTCAAAACTCCGTGGTGATCAGCCATTGGCCCTTGTTTGCTTTATGGTCTTGGATGCTTGCGCTCCACGCTCTCACGTGTACCGGTCCTCGGCGTCGTCGTTGTTCAGGCGACCCAGCACGTGCACTCGGTCATCCTTTAATTTCGCGCACTTTTCAATCATTCACAATTACGCGCACCAGTCGCATCACCATCGCATCACAATGGCCCCCTTTCGAAGAAGTTTTTCCCGTTGAAAAACTGTCGTTCGATGCGCACCACACAAGCTATCACAACACACCGATGGCACCACACTGCTTCTTCGTTGACATGTCTCACGTCGAAACACCGAGTCCACAGAACGTAACATTCAACCAACAACAATAAGAAAAGTTTTTGGCAGCAACTAAGAACAGTACAAATACAGTCATTAACTCCAGTAACAGTCCACCACACAAGCATAACCTTGTAATAATAACACACAGAACATATTCACTGCAACCTACTCATGTAGTCGGCTCCAACATTCTCGGATCCCTTTATATGTTCTACGTGAAAGTTGTACTCTTGCAGTACTAAACTCCACCGCAGAACTCTGCTGTTGAGGTGTTTTGCTCGAGATAAGTACTGCAACGGTTGGTGATCTGTTTGAACCGTGAAATATGTCCCATATAAAAATATGTGGAACTTTTCCACTGCCCACACCAACGCGAGACACTCCCGCTCGATTGTTGAGTAGTTCTGTTCTCGAGGCAGTAGCTGACGACTGGCGTATTTTACCGGGTATAAAACACCGTCGTGCTCTTGCATAAGGACTGCACCGATGCAAGAATCGGAGGCGTCACTGCGGAGTACAAATCCACGTTTGAGATCCGGAGCCTTTAAAATAGGTCCAGACGCCAGAGCTTGCTTTAGTGTTTCGAAAGCTGTCTCTTCCTCTTCCACTACAATGAAAGATGCGGACTGGGGTGATATTTCTGGAGGACGTTCTTCGTAGCGTTTTAACATGTTTATATGGAACAGCTTGGTAGTATGTCCCATATCCAGCCAGTAGTCAGAGTCACCCTTCTTTCCTGTGACCCTGAAAGGTCCTTTCCAATGCATCATAAGCTTGTTTTCCGTCGTGGAAGTAGTACGAGGGCGCGGTCTCCAACCTTTAGCCGACGCATCCGACTTCCCCGGTCATAGTATTTCTTCTGCGTTGTTTTAGCTCGTGACAGGTTTTCTTGTGCCAACTGCAATGTTTTTTCTAGGCGATCTCTGAGATCCAGGACATACCCATATGTTGTCTTCACTTCCTCGCTTTGATTGTCTCCGGTCCATAATTCTTTAAGTAGACTGAGAGGTCCTCGAACATTTCTACCGTAGATCAGCTCAAAAGGCGAAAATCCCAAGCTGGCTTGCGGGACTTCCCGGTACGCAAACAGGAGTGGGGCTAATAGTCGGTCCCATGTCTTGGGTTCCTCTTGGCACAATTTACGCAACATTTGCTTTAGTGTGCCATTAAATCTCTCCACTAAGCCATTACACATGGGATGATAGGGTGTGGAGCTGAGATGCTTGATCGCCAACAAGTCATTGACCTCTCTCATTAGCTCCGATGTAAAGCATGATGCCTGATCACAAAGTACCTCACGCGGGAACCCGATTCGAGAAAACATCTCTACCAGTGCCTCGGCTACTGTGGCTGAATCGATGGATGGCAGGGCTATTGCATCTGGGTATCTAGTAGCGAAGTCCACTAGTGTTAGTATATATCGATTACCCATGTGTGATATTGGCTTTAAAGGCCCGATAATGTCCACTGCCACTCTTTCGAATGGGGTGTCTATCAAAGGCATTCGACCTAGTGGTGCCTTACCAACTCTGCTCTTGGGGTAGGTTCGTTGGCATGCGTCACAAGAGCGCACGTATCTCCTCACTGCCTCTTGAACTCCTGGCCAGTAAAATGATTGTAGAACACGATCAATCGTTCTTTTTATTCCTTGATGCCCCGACATCAGGGTTTCGTGCGCCAAAGTAAGCACTTGGCTGCGCAATCTTTGGGGCACTACTACTTGTTGAATCACCTTACCAGATGGTAGGTGATAATAGCGGTATAGCAGCCCCTTTTCTATCTCGAACGAATAGGACTTTGATCCTCCCTGTAGCCCTTGACCTACTTTACTCCTGCAAGAATCTAGGGTCTTGTCCTGTTTTTGAGCGGCACTAAGATCCTTTCGGGTCGTCTTCAAGGTGGGTACATCGATTTCAGATGAGATTGACCGTTGCTCTCGGATTTTGATACCAACCACTGAAGACTTCAGGGTACCATCCTCTCTATCTGCTCCTTTTCCACTCGCTATATAGTTGGGGTAGGTTTTTACCGGAATCCTTTCCTCCCACTTGGTATCGGGGTCATGGACTTCATGTGAACCTGGTACATTTCCGACGATAAGGTCGTAGAGTGGGTTTGTCATGCATTTGACAATAGATGTACCAGAAAAATAAGGTGAATGAATTTCCACCTCCGCCTCAGGAACGATGATGCTACTGCCATCGGCTAAGAATAGCGTAGCGGTAGTACCTATGAGGGCTTCATCGGGTACCAGAGAACGACGCACCACCAGTGTATTGCTACCCGTATCCCGCAACACTGAGACGGTTCGGCCAAAGATTCGGCCCTGTAACACGGGCATTTTGTGTGTGGCAAACTTCGGGTGAGTATTCACGGCGCCCGCCATGTCCTCTTCTTTGTCCTGTGAAAGCTTCACTTCCGTTGAGTGCTCCTCTGGCGACAAAAGACATGACGTCTTGTTGGCTGAACCGTTCTTCTTTGAGCAAGTTTTGGAATCATGCCCCGCCTTCTGACAATATCCACAGAAAGGTTGTTTTGACCTTGATCGGCACTCCGATGCCCTGTGACCCATTTTGCCACATACAAAACAACGTACTGCTCCTCTCTCCGAGTAACTACCACTTTTTTCCGTATTGCTTTTAGATTCCACTTTTTCTCGGAAAACTAACAGGTTGACTTGCCTCTGAGCTTCTAAAAAGTTATCTGAGGCCTCGGCCATGTCCTCTAGCTTGTTGAAGCTCTTTTCTCGCAGGAAAAGTGCCAAACGGTGATGACAGTTTCTTAAGAACTGTTCTGTAACTATCAAGTTACGAAGAGCCGAATATTCTTTTCCGGTCCTCGACATTTCGACCCAACGATCGAAAAAACTCAGTAGCCTAGTTGCGTACTGCTTGCCTGTTTCGCCGTCCTGTGGCTTGCTTTGTCGGAACTTTTCCCGATACCCTTCGGCCGTAAAACGGAAACGCTGGAGCAACGCCAACTTGGCTTTATCATAATCGAGTGAATCCTCCGGCGAAAGTCTTCCAAACACCTTTAAGGCTTCTCCGCTCAAACATAAACTTAAAGCTGTGGCCCATTTGTCCCTAGGCCATTCTTGACCGATGGCGACTCTCTCGAACCTTTTTAAATAGGCGTCCAAGTCGTCCCGGCTTTCATTAAATCCCGGTATCAACTTATGAGGATTCACGCTGCATGAAACACTCCTTTCTTGTGCTGAGCCTGGTGCTGAGTCAACAGTTCTTGTCTCTACACGGCTATTCTCAGCTTCGGCAAGTCTAAGACGCAGTTGCAGGTTTTGGTTCTCTAATTCCAGCTGCTCCTTCTTTGCGCGTGTCTCCAGTTCGAGCTGTTTTTCTTTTTCGCGCGTCTCGAGCTCAAGCTGCTCCTTCTTGGCCTGCGTCTCCCGTTCCAACTGTTCCTTTCGAGCTTCTCGTTCCGCAGCCCGTTCCTCTCGTGCTCGTGCCTCCTTCTCCTCGTACCATGCTTTAAAATCCGCCCCATCAATTCCCATGCGATCCGCCAAGGCCATTAGCTCTCGCATATTCGACATGATGTCAACCGCGTCAATAAATGAAGGTGTCAAACCAACGGCTTTGTCCTGTCGCTGCGGACGCCAGTTTGTGATGCGGGTTCTTGTTGCTGATTTGTTTCTCCTGGTTGAGCCCCGGAGAGTTTTTCTAATAAGGACAAAGCCGTTTGCTTAACAAACAACACCTAAACATTTACTGCAGAACTGAAGCAAAACTCAAACACAAACTACAAGAAATGAGTAGCTGGCTAAAAGCGGGTTTTAGAAGGAAAACAAACATCTAAAGTCCCGAAACTGCCGACGGAAAGTCACAGCTACATGATGCAGTTCTGACGCGGTGATTCGGCGGTGCAGGGAAGAGAGCAAGTTCGATCTCACCAAAACGTTGCTGCTGTAATGGCGGCGACGGCGTGTACCGATGCTCGCTGGCGGCGACGATGTGTACCGATGCTCGCTGGCGGCGACGATGGAACGGGACTCGCTCGGTGATGCCTGTGGCGGCCCAGATTCGCCCGATGAGGTGGCTGGTTGCAAGGCTCAGGCCCGTGACCCGAACTGCCGTTGCTGCACCCGCACCGGAATCTGCAGGCCTTGGTCTCGACCGTTGAGGCAGCTCGCCGTCCTTGGAAGGCGTTGTCCGGAGGTCCAGACCGGGTGAAGTCCAGAAGGCTCAGGTCTGCCACCCGACTGCCTGTCTTCAGCTCCCAGCTGTGTCCTTCCTCTTGCCTCGTTCACCTCGAACTACTAGCTCTTTTGCCCTTCAGGATTGGCTTCCTCTGGGGCACACTTGTCTCGTCCCGATTGGCCTTTCAAAACTCCGTGGTGATCAGCCATTGGCCCTTGTTTGCTTTATGGTCTTGGATGCTTGCGCTCCACGCTCTCACGTGTACCGGTCCTCGGCGTCGTCGTTGTTCAGGCGACCCAGCACGTGCACTCGGTCATCCTTTAATTTCGCGCACTTTTCAATCATTCACAATTACGCGCACCAGTCGCATCACCATCGCATCACAATGGCCAACAGCCTAGGTTGACATCACACACTAGCGCTACGTCCACAAGCTTTGTGTACGGTATTGGAAAACTCTTTTGTGCCTCAAATAAATTTTGCCTTGTGTTGAACCTATGGTTTTATTGTTAAGGTAAGTCTTTATTAGTGCTTCTCAAATCGTTTAGTTAGTTCTTAGCGTGAGAATACTGATCTGTGGCTACGGTATCCCCAAAAGTAAATACGGTATCCCTAAATTTTTGGCCAAGATGCCAGCTGAGAAAGAAAATCACTGTGGTGCAGAAAGTACCTAACAGGCATTTTTTTAAAAACCATTTAGTCCGATAGGTCTGTGTGTGTGTGTGCAAAAAAACTGCCATCGCCGCGTGGCGGCAGTCTGCCACTTGGCCTTTCACAAGCATGCGAGAGTGGCTTTTTCACACCTGTATGAGAATTTTGGCCCGCAGAGCGTATCATATGACCACAGTTTTTCCGCAATGCCGAACGTTGCTGCTAAATAATCGCATTTTCCGGGAATGTATTAAAACATAGCTCCATGGAGGCATTTCTAGTTTTTGCGATTTCGAGCGTAGGAGCCAGGAAACCGTATTAAGCGGGAATGTATTAGCGAGGTTCTACTGTACTAACAACTAGAGTCCCGACATGGCATTAAAATCATCACCGTTGATCAGCCTAAACTGCCAAGAAGTTGTTATTTCACAGAACTTCTGGTTCACATACTTTTTGATAAGAACTGTGCACAGGATTGGTGGAAGGTTAGCGAAGGCAAACACATTGATTCTGTTATACTACTACACTTCCTTTTTACACTTTTGACACAAAACTTCCTTTTTTAAGCTGCTCAAAAATAAGCTGCATGGTCTCAAATGATGCCACACTTTTGACAAACTTCTGTGACCCTTAACTAATGCTCAAAGGATCTACTGGAAGCAAGAAACCAACCAATCAGAAGCAAAGCAGCATCCATGACAGCTGCACCGTTCAACATGGTAGCCATCAAAATGTCGTGGCCCGGACAGTCGACAAAGGAGACATGCCTGCATGGAGTAGTAGGACAGAGTAAAAAAGGTTATGTAAACAAAATCAGCCATGCTCTATTAAAGTAGCCACACAGGTCCATCAGTATTAATAAAAGGAATGGCGAACGTCAATGCTCAAAGCGATGATAGGGCTACATAAAAAAATAATTAGTACCAGACATATGAGAAAGCTACGAGGGAAATACTATATTGAAAGGCAGTGCTAATGTAACTAACTTTAAATTGAACAGACAAACATGGGACATATTATAAAGTACTAACACCATTTTAAATGTATGCAGTACAACATTCGCTGGTCTGTGAAAAAAAAAAAATGTGAACAAACAATTAACAAACCCTTCTAATGATATACTGCAAATTAAAAACAACTACAGTAAAATGTTGTTTTTATGTTTCTGTTCTGTAGTTTCCTGGTTCTTAAGCTCTGAAACACCAATCCTCTTTAGTTTCTACCAGTTAAGGTGTCTTAGCTCCCGATTTCTTACGTTTCCTTTCCAAGCTGTTTTGTTTTGAAACATTTATGTCCTCTACAGTGGCTGCTACGTGTCACTATTGTTAACGGTCACAGCACCTCCTTTATGAGTCTGCTCGACCAGAAACAGTGATATTGTCTGCAATGTGTCGTCAGTGCATGGCAGGCTCAATAACTGCTGACTGAAAACCTAGTTGCATGTGCATTTATTATTTACACTCCTCAAAGGAAACAAAACAGTATATGTGCTCTCTCATGCCACCTTCCCCTACAGTTTTGAGCACTAAAATATTTCTGTAAAAGAAAATATCACTATAACACATCACATTTTCTCAATCATGAGTTCTTTCATGGTCACCCGAGAAGTAACAATGCGTCTTCACTTTACATGTTGCTTTTCAAATATCGATCTATGCAGCAGAAGACGAGACTGCTTTCAAACAACGGCTCAGATCTTTGGGCCTTGAAAAATAATGCCTACAATAATAACAAGACACAACTAAAATCAGCAAATTTTGTTTGTTAGTCCTGGGTGAAAGCTCCTGGATTATGTAAAAGCACTGTCGAGGCAAAATAACACCCAGAAGAAATGTACACGACAACTCAAACTGTGACCCACCTCAGCAACCTGAACCGGCCGTTGCAGCCAAGCCGGTCACAAGGAAAGTCATCCTCTTTGCTGCTGCCGGCCGACCGATAGCATGCAGGACGAATGCACTTTTCGTCATCACACTTGTATATCTGCGTTAACACGAAACATATTTTTGCTCATCATCAATCAAGATAAAATAATTTGCATGCAAGAAGTGTAGAAATCAGCAGTCTGTTGTGGTTTAGCTGTACAGCTGCACCAGTATTGCCTAACCTTGAAACACGCTGGTGTGCAGACGTTGCCAATGTGTTATTTTCTTTTTTCATTACCTCGATTTCAGTACATAGCAAGTGAACAGGAAGTTTCTGGTAACTGATTGATATGTGTGATTTAACGTCCCAGAACCACCATTTGATTATGAGAGACGCAGTAGTGGAGGGCTCCAGAAATTTCGACCATCTGGGGTTCTTTAAGGTGCACCTAAGTCTAAGCACACAGGACTCAAGCATTTACTCCTCCACTGAGAATGCAGCTGCCGCAGCCAGGATTCAACCTGCCGGTCAGCAGGTGAGTGCCTTAGCCACTAGACCACCGTGGCGGGTTGTTAATGCAACACCTTCACATAATGCCTGTATGCTCCTTTGGGTGGTTTGAATAAGGTCTATGAAACCTTCAATATTAGACCACACGATAAAATTTGCTCGGTTCAAAGTAATGCATAGCCATACAATGGCCAGGATTGCAGGTTTCCCATTGCGCTGTACGAGCTAGCTCTCGGAACCACAAGTTTAGCACACACTGCAGAATGCACATTAATGCAAAAAACAGAACAATTGTCCCAGAAAAGAGGAATAGCAAGCAATTTATCCCTGCATTCACTAGCATTTTTCATTGAGCCGCATGAAAACAGGAACACTACTTACCTTAGCATTAGCGTAACCAAGCTTGATTGTGATGTTACGTTCCAGTTCATTCTTGAATCGGACCGTCTAAGTGGGAAGAAAGGAGTTCCAGTCAAAACAAAAATAGTGGACATTATTGGTCCTCTATCAGTCTCCATTGGTTTGTAACTGCAGGGAATGTTGGAGAGTAGTGTGACGATTACAACATCACAGACAGACATCCAACACGTGAAACAAGTGGCGTTCGTTGTGTACATTTTGTGATTCGCGAATGCTGCTGAGGTCGCTCCACATTACGTAACATGCGGCTTTTTTTCTCACTGCCATGCTTAGCATTTGAATTATGAGGCAAAAAGCGCTATACTAATCAATTACCCCAATTACCATTCTTTCTTCAGAGTTAATCAGCCACCAGTTACAACCACCTTAATCAATGCAAATTTTAACTTGGAGCGATACAACTGTCAAATACAAGGCAAAATTCTCCATTTTGGGAGCCACACTTGACAGCCGAAATGGAAGTGTCATATGCTAAACATAAATTTCGGATAAACCCATTCACTTGAGATCACAAGCAGTAACAGAGTACAGAAGAAAGTCGCTTACAATGGCTCCCACATGGCATAGTACTTGCTGACATCACAGATAAAAAAAAAAGCGAAAAACGCGGTGCGTAGTAAACTGGTTATGTACAGCTAAAAAAATTATCGACCCATAAAGCACTAAACAGGAGCTAAACTTTCAGTTCTTCCACTTGTTTACTAATGAAAGTAGAGAGTCGTCCGTATTTTATCGCAGGAATAAATCGACGCATACTGCTCGGTTTTTGAGACACAAACTAATCGCGACAAACATACACTGCTTTGTGCATTGCGCCATCCAATGTTCAACGCTTATACTGTCATACTGCGTGCTTTTTACAACGTACAACATTTTAACAATAACAACTTCACGCATTTACTGCGTTTCGTGTTCCTCACCTGTACACCGGAAATCGCCTTCACGACGGTCGATTTCCCGTGAGCCACATGGCCAATAGTTCCTGCATTCCAAAACAAACTGGCTTAGTATCACGCTGAAACCTCTTGTCGGTCGTTGATTGGACCCCGAATAGGAACTTACTGAAAGGCACGCATAATAGTACAAAGGGGCTAAATACACATACCTATGTTTATGGTAGCTTGCCTGCTAATGACCTCAGGGGTAAAGGGTGTCAACTTGTTGATGTCCTGAAAACAGGATTAAAGAAACAGCCATTGTAAGTACAGTGACGCGAACAAAAGTTACTACAAGTAGTGCAGACACGAAGACGTATGTATACTGCACGTAAGTGTGACCTATATGCCTGTCGTTAACAGGGTTCTCAACAATCGGGGCAATGAATGCATAGGAACCTTGACAAAGAAAGTTGAACCTACTGGACGAGGCCAAACTCCAGCGATATTTTAACGAGGTACGGACGCGCAGTTAACACGCTTCTCGTGGGTCTTCGAGGATAGACCGGTGAGCGTACGGAAGCATATGATCGCGGAAAAACACCGGCCTACGAATGACACATTTGGCAAGCCGGCTGTGCCGACATGCAGGTAACACGTGTGCGCAGAAGGAAGCGCCCTGGATGCGTAATCACGACTTTAGACGATAGATAAGCGGCGTGTTATCGCGACAGACATAGCGCGAAAGGTTTACTCACTAGTTTATCGAGGTCTTGTCGCATTAAATGCGGTTGCCCCTGAGGTCTTGCACACTCGCCGCCTGCCATGTTGAAGGAGAGAGCTTCCCGGTGAAAATGTGAAAATGACGACAACTCTTCCACACTCCAGTTAATGAACAAGTTTACACAAATGCAAGTTAAAACAAAAACATTCACCTAAATAATTTTTTTGTTTTAACAATATTGTTACACTATTTGACAGTTTAAAAAAATTACATTTGCTGTTTTTTCCGTGTCACATTATGCCAAACCTCATAAATATATGCCACAAATACAAACTTCCATCAATTAAAAAATAAATTTTTGTTTTAGTTAAACTTTTGCTAATTTATTATTTTGCAATATCTTAAAATAGGTTTTATTAGGTTTCAAAAGTTTTTATTTACTGCGAGCCGGTAATGTGTTGCGTTGCTCGGCAACGAGTCAAAGATGGACGCTACCTGTTGCTTTGTGTTGCTTTATTGAAGGCTGCCCTTACATCATCCTACAAAAAATGATTCCGTTCGTTATCGGCGTGTTGTTTTTCTGGACAGCTTTGAACTTTACAGACTATGTCTTTAAGGTAACTTGATGAGCATCGTCACTTTGCTAAATACGCCTACGCGAGAACGCGTTGAGAAATAAAGTCGTCGACGTTGAACCGCCCAACCCGTTTCTATCCTTTGAACTCCTTTTTTTGCAGACTTGCATGCTGTACCCGTACGTGAACATGTTGGAGCGAAGTGGCATGAGCTTGAAGCTGCTTCGCGCCCAGTTCTACTTCACCCGGTTCAACCGAGTGGTGCACCAAATGGGACGAAAGAAACCGCGGTTTCTGTACTGGTGGTTTACCGTGGGCACGGTGGCCAGTATCGGGTGCATTGCGCCTGCCTTATGGGTGCTCGTCAAGACTGCCGCTGGCATGATTCGCAGTGCCGCGACCGGAACGCAAGAAGTTCAAGTCCTCGAGCCTTCTGCAAGTGCCCCATTTCTGTGTACCGCTGTTATTGCACGCAGGGCTCGAAGGTCTCTCTTAGCTGCAAGCACAATCCCGTGCAGTCCGGTCGACTTTGAAGTAGCGGTAACCTTTAATAATACTGTATTTCTTCAGGTATGAGTGAGTTAACGTCATCCTCTGAGCCAAAATATCGTGAACATGCCCTTGGTACAGTGAAGTACAATCAGCGCCAAAAATTTAAAGAGACCACGAGACACGAGCAATGCTGAATATCCCCGCTGATTCAGCAGACAGCCTTAAATTACGTTTCCGGCCTGTTCCAAAGCGTGAACAAGTACTGTGCAGTTCGACTGAATACACTCACAAATCGCTGGGAAAATCAAAGTTTTCTTAGAACTACAGTCGAACCCGCAGTAACAAATTATGGAGTATACTGGACGGTTGCAAAATTGTCTTGAATTTACGTCGGATATCAAAAATATTTCTCATATCGAATCGCCAATATATCGAACTTTTTGGTGATGCCATTCAGATTCAGTAAAACAATATTCCACTGTGGCGATCTCCAAATTTCTGACGCCGACTGTACATACGCTGTAACCCTTGGTATCTTTTCACTGGCCTGAAGCACAGGCCATCTGAACACAGGACTAGGTATAACAAAGTCTCCCCCGCAGCAGAAAAACCCTTATGTGTATGTGTTGGGCCATATTGAAGAATAAATCTGTATGTATAGTACGGAAGCACATCAATTTTTTTTTTTTTACAGTTGCAAAATTGTCTTGAATTTACGTCGGATATCGAAAATATTTCTCATATCGAATCGCCAATATATGGAACTTTTTGGTGATGCCATTCAGATTCAGTAAAACAATATTCCACTGTGGTGATCTCCAAATTTCTGACGCCGACTGTACATACGCTGTAACCCTTGGTATTTTTTCACTGGCCTGAAGCACAGGCCATCTGAACACAGGAATAGGTATAACAAAGTGTCCCCCGCAGCAGAAAAACCCTTATGTGTATGTGTTGGGCCATATTGAAGAATAAATCTGTATGTATAGTACAGAAGCACATATCAATTTATTTTTTTAGCTCACATCAAAGTTGCGATACATCTACTGAAAAAAAAACTCTGCTGCGCTTGCACATTGTGCATCTGAGTGACACGCAATGCGGCAGGGCTCGTAATCTTTTCTTTGTCTTGTCTCCACAACTCCAGCTACCAGGCGTCAACCTTCCATTGTCGGACATCTTCTACTACATCGCCACATTAATTGTGAGCAGCGTATTCCACGAGTTTGGTCATGCCTTGGCAGCTGTAAGGTAACATACCCTCTCGTCCTTCCATTTACTAAACCGCCTGCTTTTGGCTTTCTTTCTTCAGTATGCATGAAGGTTCAAATATTTATGCAGAATATAGAACTTGTTGCTAGGCAACCTGGTTCATGATACTAGTTGCAGTATACCTCTGAAGAAAATCGTTAGTAAATTCTGTGCAGAACCTTGCAAGTTGTAACCAATGATCTTAGATAAGATAAACATAAGCTTTGCACAAATGCTGAAGTCTAAACGTATTTGTCCATGCAGCCTTTATCAGGTACTGCACAATACCGTTATCGCATTTGCTGTAAAGATTACCTTATTTACAGGCCAAGCAACAAGATACCAGAGACTATATGAAGAAGCCCTTTATTAAATAGCTTCATTTTATAGGTGTTCAGCTGTATCATTTGATGTTCCTGTCTAATCAAACTCCATCAAATGTTCACTGAAAGCTGTTGCTAACCTATTCCCAGAAGTAATCCAGAGTTCTCTCTCGTTCTTTAGGGAAAACGTGCGAATCCAAGGGTGCGGCTTTTTCGTGCTCGGAATATTTCCCGGCGCATTCGTCGACCTCCCAAAGGACCAAGTCTCGGTGCTGTCACCGTGGAGACAGTTGAAGATATACTGTGCCGGAGTGTGGCACAACATTGTTGCAGCCTTGCTCGCCCTACTGCTCCTGTTTGGAAACAAGTATCTGTTGGTGCCATTTTACGCAGAGAACTCTGGTGTGTCCGTTATCTCAGTGCTTGAGGTAATTTCACCTCACTTGTGCTCTATTTCAGTGTTTGTCATTTCTTTAGACACTAATATTGTGTGCCAAAAATCTCTCGTTTTTCTTGGCATTATCAGCATCACTAACGTAGGTAAAAAGGACAAGCAAAATGTTTGCAGTTTTGGGAAGCAATTTAGCATCTCTGAAAACTTGAACTCCTCGTTTTAAAGTTGAACTTCATTTTATGTGCACAAATGAGTACCGATCTTTTTACATGCACTGTACTTGAAAATACCCAGCCCGTTCAGATGAGGTCGAGAATACTATCAAAGAAGAAAAACATGTTACATGGCTTGCCAGAAATGTCCATATATCCATCTTTCAGTACCTTTACTTAAACACTGCCACGATGTAGATAGCGTCCAGCACATTTTGCTTGAGTCAGTGGGATTGACCCATGAGGGTAACCCAGTGTGACATAGACACACACTTCATTCCACTGAATGATCTAAATAACAAACACACAAGAAAAAAAAAATAACTGAAACACGTAAACTGAATATCACCTCCTATCGCGACCATATTCTACGCGTGTTTCTAGCCACACTCACCGGCTAATATCTCTAGGATGAATGGGATGTGAGGTGTCAGCCACTTGCGATGAATATCGGTCACGCTAACACCTGACTGCCGCTTATAACGTACGTCCGTACCGTTGCCCCATTGGTGTAGAAATGCACGCTGCAAATGATGCAAGAACTTTGTTCCTCATCGGTTATGGGATTAGTGTTGGCAGGCACTCCGGGAACCTCCCAGCCTAGTCTGGCCTGTGCTCTGTTGGCGAGGCAGACTGGTATCTCCAAGCCCTGGTTCGCTCAAGGTCAGCGGCATATGCGCTGACCTGTCTCGGCAGCTTGCTGTACCACCAGCCAGCTACACGACTGGAGAGTGAGTAGGTGACAGCTCGCCCAGGCAGGAACTCGGGCAGCTTTCCAAACATTGCACTATTGGGGCAGACTGGCCATCCACCATCTTTATTGCCATCCTAGCCAACCTTCTATTCTGCATGTGCCCGTCCTTCGATCTCGCATGTCCACTCACACTTCACGCTTCTTCCTCTTCTCTTTGCTTTGCTGGCGTTCCACACATTTTTTCTGTAGTCGTTTTCTTTTTCCATTTTTCATCTTTGACAAATACACAACCCAGTAATATTGGATGCACTTCAAGTAATGGGCCTAATAACCACTGCTTTAAGATGTCTAGATAACTTTTTAGTGCTTATTTTCACTAGTTTCATGAATGTCACATGCTGTAGCATATTCAGTTTCCTCCATTTGAGCATGCATTCTGGTGGAATCATTGTTTGTCCGCATAAGTTCAGGAATGCCCAACTTCATTCTCTTCACAAAGAATCAGAAATGACATCAGAGCAGGTTCAAATGAGTAAAGGTATGTCTTGTGCCAGGCGCTAAGCACGCAACCCTTTTTAGGCAGTGAAGAGTGGTCACCAGCAAAAACTTGAACAAGTGCACATGTCGATGTGAGTGGCAACAAATGTACTGCAGCAAAGCGAATCTGTCTTTCACGCATTCACCAAAAATAACACATATTGCTGCGTATCCATGTATTGCTTCATTTCTAGGAGTCTGGTGCCCACGGCCCCGGTGGCTTACTGCCAGGAGATCATGTTGTTGGAATTGACGGCTGCAATGTCCGTAATGTAGATTCCTGGAAGGCCTGCCTGGTCCAGACAGTACTGCTTCCCCAGCATGGCTACTGCCACAAAAAGTCTGTGGTCGAGACTGAAGGAACGTGGACTCCAAAAGGTGGGGCATGCTGCAGTACAATGTGATATATGCATAGGCAATGGGGTGGCTGCCCACTGTAATCACCTAAAAGAAAGAGGGAGAGGGGAGCAAGTTATGCCTCTTGGGTTGACTTGAAAGGACCAGTCAACAGGCTCCAACTTTTTTTTTTTACACCCCCCAGAGAAGCTCGGCAATTCGTAGAGCACACTACAGCGATCATGTTTTCCGAATACTGCAGCGCGCAGCGCAGAGCCCCCACTTCAATAAAACTCCCACGCTCCTTTCCCTAAGTCTGACCAATCCTGCTTTCGCGTGCAGTGATGCAGAGTCACCAATCGGCGACTTGACATAGCTCACAGCTCATTGATTAGTCTAAACCAGTCATGACAACTGGCTACGCTTTCCCCACCATGTGAGGAAAAAAGGCGGCAAGGCCGCGTGAAAACTTTAAACCAGCTGAAACTGATGTTCTGACCCCTATGACTTCCTTAATATAGCATGTATTCACAAAATCGCGGAACGTGCTACCTTGTGGCAGCACGTTCACAAAGCAAAAGTGCACATGTTTCTTTTTATAAAAATTTTTGGCCTTCAAGTTTGTTTACTGGCCCTTTAATAGGGGGAGGGGACGCCGTGACGAACCTTCACCCCATCTTGAAAAGTGACGCTGCGCACACTTATGCTATGATATGTACATAATAAATTTCATGCACTCCACTTTGCTTATAGAATTACATGCCAATTGTGATGTGTAAAGTGTAGAGGTCCGCTTTATTCACAACATTGAATTTACTTTATCAGTGTACAAAAAATGTGCCTAACACGATGTAATTGTGCATTTTGGATTCTCGAATGTTGACCAGTTGACACTATGTGAACCTCAAATATAATTAATAGTGCTCGAATATTGCCTCATTGAAGTTCTCGTAGAATGACAACCACTGCAGCAGCCAAACATTTACGTTTTATGAATGTCGATGTAAGTGAACTGAACACTTTTAGATGTTCTTTTTTTTTTGTCCTGACACTTTTATGTAGATTGTTGCCATGGACAGTCAAACAGCAGTCTCTGCTTTGCTTACATGGAACACGGAGAAAAAGTAAGTCTGTATGCACTTAAACTAACCTTGGCTTAAGCTTCTTCTTATTTGGTAGTTACCTCCCTTGCGCACGATCTTCTCTAAATAACCTGATGCGTTGAACTCAGTTGTTTAGTTTTTTCTAGAGTGCTTTTTGAAAATGAAAGTTCACCACTCATGCAGATACAGGAGAGTGCACATTTTATAACTAAACACATTACAGTAACATTTATTATCCAATGAGCTATATTAATTACTTGTATTGTGTAAAGGAATAACAGTGGCACTTTTGTACTAAAATATAACAGGCTGTGCAGTACCAGTTTTCTGTTTTTCTTATGCTGTATCACTTCTTAGATGCCATAACGTGAGTCGTCATTTATAAAGAAAACTGACCTGTATTTATGTAAATGTGCAACATCAAAGTCCAGTCAGTTTGCCAGGTTCCAGTGTTTGCTGAAAATTCTTGTGTAGTTTGCATGCGACATTTGTTTAGTAGAATAGTTTGCATGGAGACCACAATCTCTCATCTTTTCAACTATGCGATACAATGTGAGTGATCCTAGCGACAAGATCTATTTGATTAAACTTTTTTAAACATCACTGCCCTGCACCTCGCATCTACATATTATGAGATCCTAATTGGCATGCAATTTCACTTTTTTTGTTGTAATAATTAATGCACTACAAGTACCTAATCTTGCAAATGAAGATGCTGTCATATTAACGAAGACATGGCTTTCATCTGAACAATTTTTAGTACTGAATACTGGTGTAAGTAACCCCCAATTTTTTCGTATGATGTCAAAGTTGTTACAAAGCACATTACTTTTCTGCCATAGAGATCTCTGCTATGTTGCTGCACGAAGTCACTGCTCAGAGATAAATATGCACTCTCAGTGACCCTACGAGCTTAATTGCATCATTACCCCCCTCCCCCCCAAAAGTAAAAAAAGAAAGTAACTGAAGACCTGATTTTGTGTTGCAACTTTAGCACCTTGTCATCACATGTTATGCTGACTTAGCAGCTAAGGGGTTGTTGTGCAGCTTAACGTGAGCCTGCTGGTTTGTCTCCAGACCACGGGCAGTTGCATTATATGGCCGCAAAAATGCAGAAACATCCACATATTCAGAATTAAGTGCATCCTAAAGAGCCACTGATGACCAAAATTAATCCGTAGTTTCTTAATGCGGAGGGCTTGACAATCACACTGTGGTTCTGGTACGCGAAACCCCAGGAATCAAGTTTGATGCTTGTCATCTGCATATTCCAGAAAAAGGTTTGCCTCCCGGCGAGGCGCACGCTACAGACGTCGATCAGGTACTGCAACTCCAGTTGTTCACAGGACGAATACTGCTTGAAGCCAATACTGGACAATGGCACTAAGCTGGTAGAGGTGAAGAGGTCCAACTGGCAAACGATGCTATTTCTTGGGCCGCCTTCCGAGCTTTGGCATTCAGGTGGGTGTCTGATCCAAAGTTTGGACCCTAAGCCGATGCCTCACTTTTACTAGCAGAAAGGCGCACATTTTGTTTTTAGGCTTTGAAAATATTTTAGAATGCAACTGCATATGCTAGAATCTCTGCACTATGTGTATTGTCATGCCTACTGCAAGGCTACTTTTTATACTTTCAACCTTCTCACTTTCATCAAACTGACAGTGTTGCCATCCCAGCTTTGTCTGATTTCATCTCTTGAGAAAGGTGCACTCATACCATCATATTGTTATTTTATCACTATTTCGCACTGCTTCAAGACAAGGCGAGCCAAGAAGAGCGTTGGTTGAAGCTACTTTGCAATCTGTCAGACCCACATTTATAGCTTGGAAATTTAATGCTTAAATGTAACCACTTGCGTCTGTCACTTCATGCTTCTCGGTTGTCTCAAGTTTTTATGAAGTAGTGAGTATGTGGGAGTTACAAGGTTAACCCGTTGTTATCATGCGCTTTGACTGAATTCACCAGGCACGCTCAGTGATTGCTGCCTAGCCTGGAATGCCTAATGTCCGGTACATACAGGGCAAAATGTTAGCCATGCTGCTTAACCGATGACTGCACACTATTTTTCACTGCTGTCACGACTACCAGTCGGTTGCCTTGTTTCTGATAAGCTGTGCAGCTTCGTCTGCTTGAAAACTTTGATTGTCCAGTCCAACTCTAATCTTTCTTTTTTTTTTTGCCACCTGGCTGCACATTTTTACATCTTCTGCATGTTGCAGCATGACCTCTGTGATTGTCTAACGGTACGTAGATGATTACAGAGGCAGTGGTTGTTGTACGAAGTCAGTCTTAGTCTGCTCAGATGCTCAGCAGTTTGGCCTGTTGCAGTTTCCGTCATCAAGTGGGTCCCTCGGCAGTTCAACCTATCCGTGCTGCCGGTCCACGTCTACGAAGTGTTCCTGCAGTATCCTTCGCTATAGTGTTCTTGAAAAGTGATTTTGTGCTGCAAAGTACTTTAAACTGTTTACACAATTGTGGTAGCGACAGATTCGTGCACTGGATTAACACTTCAAGGCATAATTATTATGCTGCTGAGAGTTCAGCAAGACAAAGAAACATAAATACTATAAGAATTGCCCAATGTAACACTTTCAGAATAATCCAAGAGATGCAATAAATTGGTGGCAATGAATACACTTCACTCCTTGAAAGTATTGCCTGCATATTAATTTTAGAGCTAAATGAAATCAAGTGCCGGAATTATTCGGTTGGCTGATTGCCATAAAAACTTGTTTTCATGAAATTTCATTTCAGTTAACCTGAATTAAGAGCAGCATAATTCTGATGATTTTTACACTTCAAAAGTCAGATTTAATTAGTTATTGCAAAGTTAAGACAGTGCTCATTCTAGACTTTTTATACATCCGTATTAGATTTCAGTTGCTAACAATTGGTAATCAAGTAACAGCTAATTGGCATGCTAATTATCGTTCACTTAGTTCTTATTTAGTTTATTCTTGGTGTCATTACACTCACCATTCCAAAAAATGAATAACGAATGGTTTTGCCTTGCATGTAAAATGTTGTCAAGGTTAGAAACAAAATGTCACAATAGCTTTCACTATTTCCTACAGGATTGAAGGTTTCCTTTCTTTTTGTTGGTTGCTTGAAGCTGGCATTGAGCTGCCTTAACTTGGTATCACAGTTATATACTGTCATTTTCTGGAGCACTGGCACTGCTCAACATCGTCCCGTGCATCGCGCTTGATGGACAGTGGATTACACAAGGGCTGATTAAGCTCTTAGTGCAATCAATGCCTTGGCTTCGATCCTCGAGAAAAGGAGTCTACCTCGTCATTGTCTTGGGCGGAACAGTTCTACTGGCGTCCAACGTTATCCTTGGCTTTTGGAAGCTTTTTGGCCAAAGATAGTTTTTAAAACGTCGGCTGGTCATCTTGTACATAGCACTCATAATGTACATTCTGTAGGTAACTCAATTTTGGAATTTTCTCCTCACCCATAAAAGAAACTTTTGTGTATGTGTGTTTCTCATTATTTCTCACACTACACTGTCAGACCCTGCTTACAGTTACAAACTGCGACCAAATATTTGGTTCAACATGTGTCGTTTGTTCAGTCGGCAATAACCAAATTGAAATTGCAGGAACCATCTTACTGACATCATCCGCACTATATAACTGCCTAGAGAGACTATGTATGTTTTAATGCTCAGAAGTATCTACCAAGTATGAATCTTTTTCATTATTTTTACTTTCCTAGTGTCATATCATGTTTGTAATCGTTAGGAGTGGAGACTTTGCAGAATTATTTTACTCTGCTCTGCACTTCCTGTAATAATGACTGTTCTTAGAGCAGCGGTGCAATTGTGAAACGGTTATATTTTTTTCTATGCTTTTTGCTGCCATTAGCCACCTGTGATTAGTCAAAGCAATGTCGCAGATGGCCAAAGGTGGTAAAAAGCATACAAAAAAGGAATAGAATCGTTCCGCTATTGCACCCCAGGATTCACTTGAATAAAATAAAAAAAAAGTTTAGGAAGCAATTCTGCTCAGAACATTGTATAATACTAATGCTCTTTTAAAACTATAATTGAGCTATTACCAATGACATGCTTGTAAACTACGATATTGAAACTTAGGTTGAGAATACTTGGGCACTGTTTGTTGATGCCCCGTGATGAATGTCACAGTCCTGCTGCAAGGGCAACGTGTTGAAAGTACTGTAGATTCACATGCCAGAACTGTTAATGATTGGTTGATATGTGGGGTTTAACCTCTCAAAACCACCATATGATTATGAGAGGTGCCATAGTGGAGGGCCCCGGAAATTTTGATTACCTGGGATTCTTTAACATGCATCTGAATCTGAGCACACGGGCCTACACCATTTTCGCCTCTACCGAAAATGCAGCCGGGATTCGATCCTGCTATCCGTGGGGTGCCAAAACTGTGACCCCACTATGAGACATGCACTTGTAGGGTACTCTGCATGACTTTTGATTGTCCAGTGTTCTCCAGCGTACCCCTAGAACTATGTAGTACACGAGGGTTTTTGTACTACACCTCCATCGAGATGGGGCTATGATCATTAGCTGCTTTAAGCTCAGTGGCGCTGCACAGCACAGTAGCTGTTGAGCTATTACAGTGGGTTAGCAAAGCACTGACAATGATACATAGTAAAATAATAGAATATTGAAGAATCTAAATTTTACAGAAATTGCAGGGCAAGTGTGCAAGTACTGAAAGAAATGTAACACACTGAGGGAAGCGAGGAAAACAAAAATGCACACAGCACTCAATTGCGTCCCACTTTGCCTTCTTTCCCTGAACTCCCTTGTTGTTCCAGCTGTAGAGGCATAATAATTATGTGCAGCATCTCTTTAATGAAAGCACCTCCACTTACACTAACAAGGTGTGAGGCTAAGCGAGTATGTGTTGCATGGTGTTGTTCTACAAATCACAGGATGCAACAAGTTAAATAGAAAATGTATATAGTATCATCTGTGTATTTTCATGTTGTACTAACACGATGGCATTAGAGAGCTCGTTTTGCAGAAATTTTGGTGTTGTTGTTTGTGAGTGGAAAACCATTTTATGCATGACCAAAAAATTGATAACGATGCAAATAAAATAAACAAATGATAAAAATTCCTAGAGCAGAATGGGGACCGAACAAGGATTGTTTGGAGGCAAGTGGGAATCAAACCCGGGCCGTCTATGCGGCAAGTGGATTTTCTACCACCTGGCCATGCCTCTGCTTGTGAAAACAGTGGAAAGATCTTCCTCTGCTTGGAAATGCAGAGAAAGTAGCTTTCATGCTTCATAAACACACGCATCCTGTATACATGCTACACAATGCAACATGAAATATTGCAGTAATAATGCGTGGTACAAACGTCCATTCCCAACGAGTGTCAGAATATGTGATTATCATAATGGCTTTATGGTTGAAAGCCGATGCCCCAATACAAAAGGCTCACATGCCACTGTACCTATTCCCTTAAGGCCACGCAGTGGGTGCATAGCGAATTCGAAAAGGTTTCATGCACTAAGTGTTTAAGTATGCACTAGGAACAAAATGTCGCTATTGTGTTCAACTCCTAAAGGCGGAGCTTTAGGGTCCCTTAATTTTTGCAATTCCACATGTTCTTGATTTGAACATGCAAGCCCAAACAAATAAATTGTGGTGTACAAAATGCTCAGTCACGTCAAAATTGAACCAAACACACAAAAGAGTATGTATGCCCAAACAAATAAATTGTGGTGTACAAAATGCTCAGTCACGTCAAAATTAAACCAAACACACAAAAGAGTATGTATGAAATGCTCTTTAATGCTGATTAAAAGTGATTCTAAGGACATAGCTGACATCGCCTTTGATGCAGCTGCCTCGTCAAACATCAATTCGCACATGGCTGAAGACAGCAACTGCTTCTAACATTATACATACAACATTCAATGTCACCCGAGAGAAGAGCGAGACCCTGGATGTGTAATAAAAATAAGTTTGTATTCATGTACACTTTTGCGGGCTCACGGTGATCCCTACCACAGGATCAGTCCTGCGAGTCTTTCGCAGCTTTTCCCACTTACCCCTGTAACTGCCCCAGTAAAATGTGGCTACTACCAAACCAAAGTCTGATTCCAAGCTACTAGTAAGTGAAGCAACATTCTTATGCATGACGCGCAAGAAACACAGGACTAACAGAAAGAAAATGGACGATCGCAGCACTCGTGTCTGTGGATGCTACGAGTTTGTATTGCATTTGTAAGCACTCATAGTCTGTTTCATGTCTGTAAACGCTTCGTATGTCGATATCGAGTTAGTAAAGACCGTGCCCATTTTGTGCTTCTAAACAGTGCATCTGCTTCACGTCCGTGAACGTTTCGTGTGTTCGTTTAGCATTTTCTTTCCATCGGCCTTGTGTTCCACGCTTCACGTTTAAAGGTACTGAGAAACCGTCGCTTGCAAAGAACCGGGAAGAACATTCAACAAGAATAAAGAGTCGCTTCTGAAACATTCGTACACGTGCTATTCCCGAAGCAGAAGGTGTTCCTAAGGCACACTGGGTAGAAACTTTCCGACAAAGAGTCTAGACATACGGCAGGTGCGCAAGCTTAAAGGACATAAGCGAGACTAGAAAATGCACAGGGCTACCCTACACCATCAGCGCATGTGCAGACGTAACCTTGGTGACCCTGTCAGCAGAGAGGTCTGTAACTCGTGTTACGACCTTAAATGTGTCAAGCAAGCAAAAAAATTTGAATGCCGCAACTAAGTGAGACACAATATGCAAAGCTGTTATGGTCAAGAAGTCGAAACTTGCAACTCATTACATTTTCGCAACCTAAACTCACCTTCCTATCTTTCAAATGCTCGCGTCATTTTTGATATTACAACTCTGCACAAGAAATCGATAGAAGTGGTCACCTTGCTTCCATAGGCAAAAGACCAATGATCACTACTTAATCTGATGATTGCTGCTGGCTTCAACTCCCATTACTAGGGTAGTGCATCATAACAGGAGATATGCAAGCCTAATTATTAAAACTAAGCATTTGTCATACAGTGACTTAACAATTTTTATGGTATATTTGTTGTGCCGAAACCTAAACCAGTTTATACATCAGCCAAACTGAAAAAATAGTGTCACACAGTCTTCACCGCAAGGGTCACCAAGTTATGCCTGCAGTAGGTAACGTAAACCAGAGTTCTAAGCACCAAAAGACATTGGCATCCTTGAAACCATGATCCATTGTGCAAACAAATGCAGACGAAGGAGAGAAAAAGCTATGCAGTGGCTTCCAGTCAGGCATTCGCGAGCAAAGGTCTGCTGGAATTTTTTTTTTTCAACCCAGCTAGCTTTCTTCTTCATGATCCATGCAGTGACACATGCACACCACATCTTGTGCACGAGAGGTTTGAAGTGATGATTACAATCACACTCACACATGGTCCTATGTCCCTGCTTGAAAAAGAAAAAAAAAAAAAAAAGAAATCCACGCAACCAGCCGTGGGTTACTGGGAAAAGGATAAATGAAGTCACACTGTCACACCTAGTTTCCTGACACTAGGTTCAGCGTGACGATGAGGTGCAGTACATGCTTGGTGTGTGGGCGAAAACCCCGAGGGAAAGAAAGTGAAACGACGCTGCGTATGGCACATCACCATGAAAGATAAACGTAAGTGAAGGGGCTCACCAGAGAGGCTTAACTTGTCGGATGTACGCATTATCTCCCACAAAACCCAAAGTTAACTTGTCGGATGTGCGCATTATCTCCCACAAAACCCAAAGTTACATGAGCAGTCCCTCTATGGGCACCATCTTGCACAATGCAGTTTAATCAGAAAGGTCACAGTGCGTTTGCTGCAGTGACCGACCGTATTCTTCCTGCCTGCTCATGATCATCAACATTTGATGAGTGGCGTACCATTTGTCGTACAACTTCCGTACAACTAGAACGCTTGTGTGACACACAAACATTTATAATGCATTGTAGTTGTATAAATCTTAACAAATGCTGCTGCCAGCGTGGCTATTACTGTCAGCAACTCTGGCATTCTGTGATGCCTCAAGAAGTGCACCGACAAGCTAAAATTCTCTAATGACAGTTACAGAAGCAGTGGGGAATATTAAAAAATGAAAGGCTGGTTCAGTTATATTCCTGGCCATAACTGCAGACTGCATCAGTTGAAACATCACTCGCTTTATGTTCTCTCTGCATGAAGCTTCTGCTGATGCAATGTACAGTCTTGCCATGAACAGTACCTAGGAAGAAAGTTACACTCAACACTCCCAGAAAGGTCTTGAACAACTTAGGCATAACTTTAGGCAATAACCCTATCACTTTAACCCCTTAGGCGTTACCTACTCCCATAAGAAAAATTACATATGTATAGTTAAAATGAATGAAGGACACCTCATCTAGGTACCATGGGCAATGAGACCTTTCAATACTGGAAGTACTGCATCATGCTATAACTACTGTGAAACAGCACTCAAACAATGCATAAAACGCACAAAAACAAGCAGTCACCATACGCACAAAATAATTCACCGAGTCGCAAGTAGGGTTGAAACATAATCACTCATCAGCATAGGTACCACAGATACTTTCTGAAGTAAAGAGTGCAAGAGAAGTAATCGCACAAGTATTTCACTGGTATTCGCGCATGGAGTTTGTATACATCTCGAATCCTCATTCCATCACTACTAATAGACCACAATTGAAGAAAAACTTAATGCATCAAAAATTGATCTGCCCTACGACAAAAATAGGAAGTTATTCATGACACCAAGCACCGGAAAACCCTTTTAATCGCAGTGAGGCATAAATAAATGTTTAAAAATTGGCTTCATATATACAGTTCGTTCAAGGCTAGGAAAATTCTGCATGGCTAGCAAGTGTTTTTAAGGCCTTAGAGGGGGCAGTCATCCATGCAATTAAATTGCTTCACAATGTTCCTAGCTATGCAGCTCTGTTGCAGATAAACAGAAGCATTAGCATGAACATGTAACTAAAGAATGCTGCAAAAAACCGTTAACATAAGGAAAGCAAAGCTCATATGTGCCTCCATGCATTAAAATGAAACAGTTCATAAAATGCAATTTTTTTTTCAATTCTGTGAAGATAATACTAATCCCCTTTAGTACCAACAATGAAGCTGATATAATAACATGGTCCGTAACAGAGAACCTCTCATCTGCAGCAAATACTTCACAGTTTTTCTCATACATTTTTCTATTAGCGCATATTGTCACGTGATTCCGACAATAATGTGCGGTAATATGTAGAAGCCTACTGTGCCAATGAAATACCTGCCGTCAATGCAGCACTACACCTGTTGACAGGTAAAAAGTAGTTCACACTCTAGCCCTGTGCGCCATACAAAGGTAATACTTTATATAAAAAAAAACACTTAAAGATGAAAATCTTCGTAAAACATTACGTAAAATACAAAAACTATGACACCAGCATGAACTGCATGCTACAAAATGATATGAACTCAAACTTGCCATGTAAATGAACACTACTATGCATTCAAACATTCTATGCGCATGTGTGCGCAGCAACTACTAATATCCAACTAAAACAATGCATAATGCGATAGATGTGTTTGCACTTCTCAAAGCCAGCCACCTTTTCAGGCATTAGGGCTACAAAAGAAAAAGAAGGGCAGGGTAACATTGGTTCTTGTAACTAAAGCAACCTTCTTGGCTAATGTACGGACACACATACCTGATTGTACTCCACCTATATTCGAAGATAAAACCAGCCGGGCTTGGCGCTAAAAGCAACATGAAAGAAACTAAAGGACGAGCAATGAATATTAGATGTCTAACAAATTCCATAAAAGTGCAGCCTTAGGCTGCTTCAGAATGCTGCAAAGTGATAAATATGGCAGTTCTTTCAGAGCTACCTTGCAGGACGAAGTGTGTGCCCGCCGAGGACAAGACATGAAAATGCAAAAGCCATGAAAGAAGTGGAGCAGCCCAGCAAACGGGCTCACTAAAAGCTTGCCTTTATCTCTTCAAGACGATATAACATGTGATCACCTTGTTTCAAGGCAGCACTAGTCCCAATAATTTTTCTTTTCTTTTTTGCCTCTCTTGTAACCCTTTACAATCACAACCTTGGCGGTAATATATAGACAGTGGACTGTCAGTTCGAAAGCAGGGGGGGGGGGGGAGGCAGTTTTTAAAAGAAAGACACCTTAAAAGCACCTGCACGAGTGTAACATCAGTTTATCCTATTCTAATCGCGCTGCACACCACCACTCACACCCAAGTGCTCGAAGGTGAGGAATGCGTTTGAACACCCGGCTTGATGGCTGCATCACCATCACCCTTGCCATCTGCTGTCGCTGACGTTCTGTTCCCTTCGCCCCCTTCTTCTTGACAGTCCTCCAAGATGGGTGGGTACATGAGGTCGTAGCGATGCTGGAGCGATGATCGCGATCGGCCGCCCCGCTTCAAAGGCACTGTCGAGGTCCACGCCGCCTGGGCGCCGGTGCTTGGATTTTCTACGGGGCTCGGAGTGTTGACGGGCGACGTTGGGAGCGACTGCACTGCATTCTCGTCGCTCCCCTTTCTTCCGCCCGAGCCCGGCCGAAGAAGTTCCATGGCGGACTTCCTTTCCAGGTTGTTCTGGCTGCTCGATGTCTTCGTCTGCAGGAGAAGCTTCTTGAAGTCAAGTAAGCTCGTCGGTTTGGCGGGGCCCAGGCGGTCATTCGCGAGTGACCGCCGCTCCAACGGACTGCAGACGCGAGCAGCGGCAATGTCACCTGACCAGCTGCGACGGTCGCGAGCGCCACGTGGGCTCAGGAAACCTGTCTCAGCAAGGCCTCCACCGCCCCTGCTCGGCGTGCTTGGGCGGCTGGTCACGACCAGGGGTGAACTTGATCTGCAAAAGTAGCGCGTGGTGATAAATTTACGCCAACTCCCTTTTTTTATCTCAAACAGCATTCCTTCTCATGCAGCAAGTAAAAAAAAAGTAATTTCCAAGGTCCCTCATGAATTATTTGCCCAAGATGATTTGAAGGTGATAGCCATCTTTTTCTTCTCAGCTGATTTATTAGCCCTCCTCCCCCAACTTGTGAGCCAGTCACATCTGGCAGACAAGTAGCTTGGTCTTATTTGAAAATTTGTCGACATGCACTATTCTCGACACTTCATGAATGGCACAGCTGCTTTTCATTGACTACATTATAACCAATAATTATGTCTACATTCATTATATCAATGTTCAACTCTGTACATATTCTCAAAATGTTGATATCATCATGGAACCCACTCGATTCATTTCGTAATGTATATGCACAAGATAAATTGTAATACAATGTACGCCGATTAGTACGAAACTCCCACCTTGTAGCAAAGTGTACAGAGGAAGCCTAACTTAGTACTTTGTGGTACAGTCGTGGTTAATCAAAGTTAATCAAATTGGGCCAGTTGGTGATACACGATCTAAGAGTACTACGCAGTAGAAAACACAGATGGGAAAAAGACAAGGACAAGCGCAGACTATCAGCGGGATGAATAAGCCTTCAGTTGATAGTCTGCACTTTTCCTTGTCTTTATTCGTCTGTGTTTTCTAACGCATAGTACTCTTAGGACAGTCGTGGTTGCATATGTATGTGTGTAGTGGACGATGCTGGCAAAAGGCCAACATTCCTTATTAAGTGCCTGCAATACTTCATTCTGTCCACAGGACTATGAAAATACCCGGAGAAATGTGTTTGAGCAATCATACATCTAGTGTCCATGTAGTGCCACTATCACTGTGCATCATGATCTTGTGTCACTATCACACTGTGCCTCTCGCAAAGCTCATGCAGCGTGACCAATCTCATGCAGACAATGCACTCAAGCTCTGGTCTCACTTGCTCATTATTGCCATATTTTGCTAAAGATGCGATGCCACGTTTCACTACATACGTGATCTAAAACAACCATTTGAAATAGTCCAAGGCCAAGAACTACTGTTGGGGACTTGTAATGTCATAAGCTCCAGCAAATGAAAAGCTGATGCTTGAAGTGCTGTGGATTTTCCAGCTTGTCACAGACATTTAAAACACAGCATTCTCTCGACCCTCCCCCCAAACAAACAGAGAAAAACCACAATGCAGAATCCAAAATTTTATAGAGTGGCAGCCCACATAATACCAGCCAGCAGACAAACACTTAAGCGAGGATAATCTTGATATTACCTTGGTGTGATGCATAAAATTGGTATGCTGCTAATTCAACTCTCGGTGAATCAAAACGACAACAATGCATGCCACATTCCGGAAAACTAGTAGCAGCAGAGAACTAGATGCGGTTTCAGACTACATTCAAGTACTTTACTTTGTCGTAACATGAGAAACTTGATTCCTCTCAACAGTAATTATTAGCCTGACTGTGTCCACTGCAGGGCAAAGGCCTCTCTCATGTTTTGACAATTAAACCGGTCCTGTGACGGCAGAAAGCGAATGACCTGGTTGATTGGCAAAACATGGGAGACGCCTTTGTGCTGCAGTGGGCGTAGTTAGAATGATGATGTGCTTTCTATGACCCCCCCAAGCTTCTAAATCTCATTTGCTCGCCCAACTTTCTGGCTCCCCATTTTGTCTTCGCCTTTCCTTGGAATCCTGCCTGTTACTCGTAATGACCGGAAGTTATCTTGCCTGCATGCTACATTCCCTGCCCATGCTCACTTCTTCTTCTTGATTTTGACTAAAATATCTTCAACATCCATCTGTTCCCCGACCCAGTGAGGTCTCTTCTTGTCTCACAAGGCTAAACCTATCATTTTCCTTTCCATGGCTTGTTGCACGATTCTCAATTCAAGTGGAACTCTCTCCTGCAATCCAATAACATGCAACTCTTACCTAGATGAGAGTGGTGATTGAGCCAGGTCTGCATCAGTCCTGATGCCATGCTTTTTCTTGGATGAATGAATGGCAGCAAAGAGATCTTCGGTAGACATAGGCTTCCGTGGCGCCAGCTCACGGGTGATTGATGTGCTACTGCTGCTGTCCGGAGACTTTTCCGACCCTGAACTAGAAAGGCTCGTGGAAGACAAAGCTGTCGGAGAACCTTCTTTTCGGAGATCTCGTAAACTATATGGCGACTCGATAGTGCCTGGTATGGGCATGCCAGCATGGTTGATGCCTTGGTAGGAATTCTGCGCCAAGTTTGGAATGTACATTCCTGGCATCTGTCTTTGATTTTCGTAACCTTCTCTTGATCCTAAGTGGCCCGCTCCGGGAATTCTATGTGGTTCCCTCAAATTCTGCACGTTGTGAGTTGGCTGCGGAGGAGTTCGAGGAACCATGCCGTACGAGGCTGGTGGAACCTGATTTTGAACTGACTGCCCGTATTCCACCCTGCCATGATCAGGTGCCAGCAGCCTCGTCGAGCTCATTGGACTCCTTGGCACTGGTGATTGCCGAGAAGGGGTCGTAGAAGGATAACCATAAGACAAGGGCCCACCTTGACTGTAGCCATGATTCTCACGAATGTCATTTGCTGTATGTGACACGTGGTTAGTAATCAAACTTCTAGGGTCAGCTCCCTTAGCAGTTGCTGACATGCTAACTTGCTGACCAAGGGGTCCCCTTATTAGTGATTGGCTGGGCTGGTAGGGAGCTCTCGGTATGTATGAAGTGTACTGGTTCCTCGGTACGCTTCCATTTGGGTGATCAAGCATTGTCCTGTCTGAATTGACCCTGTCTGTAAAATTGTACTGGTTCACAGAATTGTGGTGCCGCATATCAACTGGAGTCATCCTCCCGTTGACGAGATGCCCATCATGTGGACCATGCTCAAAGGACTGAGGTGGCATGAGCCTCGGCGCTGAAGCGTAAGCGGCACTGTTCTCCATTCGGTGGCCGTGGGTTTGGTAGTGCATGACTGGCGTTGGGCTCCTGGCAGTGCTTCTAGACACCGGTGTGGCTTGACCAGAGTTCCATGAGGACACCGGGCTGGAAGCAATGGGTACGCCATTATGACTGCGAGATACGGGGAAGGAAGTGTGGCTTGGAATGTGGGTATTTGTGGGTGATAAGTGCTGATGCACCGGGGTGGTCCTGCCACTGTGATGAGAACGTGGCACGGGTGCCTGAATGATGTGCGAAGGCGGCATGTGCTGCACGGCATTTGAAGGGCTAGGAGAGGACTTCGGTGGAGATGCTGGTAACCCCGACACCCACCTAGTCCCAATCGGTTCCCTAGGGGAAGGCTGCAGCGGAGTTCTTCTTCCGGGCGAAGTTGTCGCTGGAACGCTGATGGGCGAAAAGTGATGCAGAGGAGTCACACGACCTGAAGAGCCGTTTTCGGAGATGGGTGTACTTGCACCAGATGGCCTGTTTGAATACGGAGTTGAAATAGATGCGGGTCGTTGAACTGGTGTTGTTCTCCCCGACAAATGACTACTGAGAAAACCCGTGACTGCAGGCTGAGGTGTGCTCCTACCAGACGCGGTGCTTTGAACGTACCCCGGCATACCAGGCTGTGGCGTGCTCCTTCCCGGCGGAGAAAACTGGGGCCTGGCATTTGGTGTGGAAGTGCTGTTTGCAGGATTGCTCAATGTAAACATTCCGTCCCTGTACTGCAAGAGTGGTGGCCTCGTGTCAGGAGACGTAGGTGTGCCAGACACAGAGTACCGGGTCCTAGGAATCGTGCTGCTTGTGTAGGTCTCCACCTTGCCGCTTGGGTCCAGCCGAACGTAAGCACGCTGGTTAGAGCCAGGCGTGGGAGGCATCGATGCAGGTAAAGTCATGCACTTTCCCGGCGACCCAGTACTTCCTGATGTCATCGTGTAGCCGTCACGATGCCGTCCCAGTGAATTAGAGCTGTAAATGACTTTGCCTTCGGAATCTAGAGTCACTCTTGCACCAGTCCTGCTGAACGAAGGTGTCTGTGCAAAGTCGTTGTTTGAGTCGCTGATGGCGCTTGGCTGCCTTGTGGAACCTTGTTCAAGCACTCGACTACTGTAGGTGAGAGGAGGTGGGGGTGGGGGCACAGCAGGGGGCGTTGTTTGTGGACTTGTTTGAGGGCTGCTCTGAGGACTGGAAGGCTCGGGAGAAGAGTGGGTGGCATCTTGCACCTTGCAGCTGGTACCACTCAGCATGAGCTGCTTTACATTCATGTCACGACCTGCTGATTTGACAGGTGACGGCGGGCTCGGTGTGGTTGGTGTCCTTGGGGGAGAAGAGTTTTTAGACAGGTAGGAGAGAAATGGTGATCGTGTTTTGCTCATAAGTGAGGATGGTCTGTTCAGGAAAAACGGGGAGGAAGTGGGTGATGGAGTTTTTTGCTTAGGCGGTTGTGCAGTCTGGGGACTAGCAGACGCTTTGGCGGCTCCTGTCTGCTCCTTCCTGCCAGAAGTTTTTGTTGCCGTGCTGCCACTTTGCAGTGCTGGTGGGGTTCTTGCTTGGGGGCTTTTACAAGCATCTTTGTTATTTGCCACTTTGACTGGGGCGTGAACCGGACTTTGCTTTCGCTCAATACTCTGAGGCAACCTTGATGTTCTTGCATTAAGGTCGCTTCTGTTTGAAGTGCAAGGTAACACACCTTGCATGTAGTCGCCATCAGCAGATGAGAATGAACCCAGCACAGGTTGTGGTTGGGGAGTGGGGGGTGCATTTGGTTGTGAGACAAGTGTGTTGAGAAATGGCACATCGCGCACAGACTGCACACCGTACATGTTGAGTCTTGAGGAGGATTCGTCTGCCTCTTCGTCTGCTATGGCATGTTGTTTTGCTTCTGCGGCCTTTACAGGTACAGAAGGTGTATTTGAAAGTTCGCTTGCTACTCCTGCAGAGTGGGACAGATTAGGCTCAGACAAGGGAGAGTTCTCGCCAGACGCCCGCTTCTCCGTGTCAAGACGACAGCTGTCCTCGTCACTGGGTTCGGGAGACACAGCACATATGGAAGGGTACCTAAACGAGCCAATGGATGTCTTTCTCCTGAGTCGTTCACCAACCTCGCAGTCAGATTCTGATATGTCACCAGCAGAAACCGGTGGCGAGCTCTCCTTCTGCGAAGGTATTGGTGATAGAGTCCTCACGCTAGAGAGCCTTGGCGGGGGGAGCGGTGGTGCCTTCGACCTCTGTGTAAAGGTGCTCGCAATTGAGCAGTTGTCAGTTGCCGTGTCCGTCGCATTTTGCGAGAGAAAGCTGTTGAGGCTCAGGTTTCCAATTGTGTCTATCGACGTCTGCGATCCCCTGTCACCGGAAGCGGCGAGGTCTCCATTGTGTTCACCGGGAAACTTGGCAAGGCCATGCTTCAGACCGCTGTCAGTGTGCATTGAGGTGTAATAACCATCGGTGTCGACTGAGTACACCGAGGAGTCGCCGTCGTCGATGGGATTAGTAAATGGATCTGAGCCGACGCTGATCTTTCGCGTTACGGGTGAAGAAGACGATTTGGAATCGGAATGACAGGCTTCAGGTGTTATGGTGCCTGAGTGGCTTTCTTGATCAGTCGAGGTGGAGTTCATGTTAGAGCGGGTAGTCAGTGGGCCCTGGCCAGGGTGCTTCCAAGATGATGCCAGTGTTGTTGTGGTCAGGGCAACGGAGACATCCGATGTATAACCTGGGGTTGTCCCGTCATGAGACCTGAAACGATGAATACAGGAGGTGATGTACAGAGTAACCGCACTATAAACTGTCAACATGGTCATGTGCATGTTAAAAATAAGCTGCCAATATGCTCGAATAATACGCGATTTATGGTACCAAACACTTATTGAAGAATGCAGACACACCAAACGCCACAAAATCAACCACTTATGTGAAGGAATGTACACTCCACATAACTTCTGCAGTGGCCATATGGCCACTGCAATAGCAACAATGCCAAATTACAATAGACTGTTTCTTTCTTGCTTCTTTTATAAGGCAGGACAGGTGTAAGTAACCGGCTATAACAATATATAAAATGGAAGAAGGAAAGGATTTCAGCCTGCCTGAGATTTTTTGAATTTGGAAACGGCACTAAAAGGCTCTACAATCACGCGCAGGCAAAGGCATCCAGTTTGAGTTTACAACAAATGCACCAAATAGATAATGCTATAGCTGATTGATAAGTGGGGTTTAACGTCCCAAAACCACCATATGATTATGAGAGACGCCGTAGTGGAGGGCTCCGGAAATTTCGACCACTTGGGGTTCTTTAACGTGCACCTAAATCTGAGCACACGGGCCTACAAAATTTCCGCCTCCATTGCAATTGCAGCCGCCGCAGCCGGGATTCGATCCCTCGACCTGTGGGGATATCGCTATAGTTACTGACGCTTTGCACTTCTTAGAGGGCTAGCTGCAAAAAAAAATTTACGGATAGAATCAATAAGGGGGACACAAAATTAGGACATTTTACAATCCAGAAAGTAAGTATCAAAAATGGACCAACCATAGACAAGATAGAGACAGCACTCTTCAACCAATATGTGTTTCCTAGTCTGAGCAACTACAAGACTAAAAAGACCACAATCTTGACAAAGGGAACAAAACAGCGCTAAGCACGGGATGCTGATAGACAAACAGACAGATCACTAAATTTTCAACCATTGGTTTCTCAGAACAGAAAAGAGCCCAATAGGATAGAAATGAAAATAAACCGCAGATTGTTAGTTCAGCACTCTGTCTGTCATTGTATTATTGCCCCGCATCTAGCGCTGTTTGTTCCCTTTGTAATGATGAAACAACCAGCCCAGTTAGGTGCACTGCTACACAATTTTGCGGCTGTTGCCAAGTTTCAAGCTGTGTACTGACCTCCCATCGGTACTGTGATGCGTGTTGTCCGAGAAGAGTGAGTCTCTGCCCAGAGAGCTTTCCGAGTGGCTGTGCGGGATCGTGTCAGGGGATGGCCCCGAAGAATGGTGCTGGTCTGAATCTACAGAGGCTCGTGTGCTACTGCTGGCACTCCAGTTCCCGCTGGATGACTGGCCATCCTCGCCGCCCTTCGCCGACACCCGGGCCGATGTCTGACGCAGCTTCACAGCCACCGTCATTGCGCCAGAGTTGGTCGATATGGGCAGCAGGGACGACCGCTTCTTCTTCTCACTCCCGCCAGTGGACGTGCCGCTCTCCGTGGCCCTGCCTGTCTCGTTTTTTGCCGTCCCACCGTGGCTTCCACTGTCCACCTCTTTATTCTTGCCGGATTTCTTCAGGAACTTCCAGTCGCGGCTGAGCCTGCTGAAGTTCATGGCCTCGTAGAAAGATAGCCGCTTCTCCGGTTTGCTGTTGACGTTCGTCTCGGTCGTCGTGGATGATGAGGATGAGAGCTCCCCAGAAGAGGGACTCTCCTCGGGACGGCGTTTTCCGGAGGCACCACCGCCTCCTCGTCCGCTAGACTTGGCACCAGTTGCCGCCTGAAGCAGGTCGTCGTCGGTTTGGCACGAGCTGTGGATCAGCGCTTCGGTCTTGACCAACGTGCCAGACTTCTTGCGGCTGGTGAGCGCCTCTGCGATTTCTTTGGAGTTCCCGTCCGAGATTGTGTTTCGCCTCTTGTGATGCTTCTTGCGCTTGATAAGGAAGTCAACCTGCACAAGAAAAGCTCTACTCAGACTCTCTCAGATGCCTTTGAGTCTAATTACAGATTTACGTGTACAGATACACATGAAGGATTGAGGAGGAATTTGTGTGTTGTTACTGAGGTCACTTGGCTACCAGTTGTGTTTGCGTTTTATACCATCATACACTGCCTGCTATATTTTGCAAGCATAAAAATAGTGAGCAGTGTTTCTGTGCACTGTTTCAGATGATCTCCTTTGCTGGACAACAATGCTATGCCGGTGAGCTCATAGTCGACATGGTGGGCATTGCATACTGAAAAAAAGAACAGGAGGGAAAGGATGAGATGTTAACCAGTCTAGAATGACTGGTATGCTACCCACTACTGGGGACAGATATGATGGGGAAGGGGAAGGGCAATATAGTCAGAAAGGTGAAAGACTGACCAGAAAACAGGCAACATTATACAAATTACTCTATGTTCCTTCAGAAAACATCTCATCTGCTGCAAACACCATGTTTCATCATGAACTTCTGGGCAAATTTTGAGTTCCCTCACTATAAGACTTAGCGCTGCCTATAACTACACTTTCTTTAACTTTTTCAGCTTTTATGAGTGCATTTACGTAACTTATGGCTTAATTATGCTCGGTAGCCTCCCAGCACATTCACTACTGTTAAGTTGTCAAGCCACAAATGGAGGCGTCGTGACATGCCAGCTGCAAAAAGCAAAAACATGCCTACATGTTTTGCATGCGCAAGATCGAATGTTCCTCTGTAACAGCTCAAAACCTAATTTCTCCAGTTAAATCAACATATACCTTATGGACCTCAGCATGCTATTAAAGACCAGACTTCTATCATCTAAATATAGTCAAATATATTCTTCAAATATATTCAAATATAGTCAAATATATTATTGACTATAGTCAAATATAGTCAAATAGTATTGTCAAATAAAAATAAATAAATAAATAAATGTGAAATAACACTCAATAAAGCAGGTGCTTCATTTCTTGAGATAGTGTGGCAAGAGCGGCCACACAAGCTAATGATTATGTGACACCTCACAGAGGCCTTAGATATTGAGAAAATTGAACTACTTATAACCTACAACATCACTATTTCGTAAGCACTCCCCAATAACCACAGGAGACCTTGCTTAATTGAAAGGAAAGAAAACATTACAGTGTGATGATGATAATGATACATTTAGTTTGGTCCGAAGAAGACACAGGGGAGATCCCGTTCTACACGGCTAATCCCATGTAAAAATATATCCTGCGATAATGTTAAGAGGGCCGCCAACCTCGGCTTAACATTCGAGTATGGTATATTTTTATTAGACTTCACTTGTACAAAAATGCATACAGTTACACAAATACAGTGTTGGTGGTCTTACTGTTTTGCATTAACACCCATGCTGCCTACAAATATTGCACTGTCGTAATCTTTCAAACATAAAACACAAGCCCAAATATGACAAATTCACATGGCATAAATAAAAATATGTTAAAATTTGTTATAAAAAAGAATAGACTGAATCAGCTAAATGTCAGCCATTTAGTTAATGACAGTTCTTTCTATTTGTTCTATATACAACATTTAAATCCACATTATATTGTTACACCTTTGAAAAGTAACCCTATTTAGTACGCAATCAACAACTTTCTGTAATTGACTTAACTGAAGTTCCTATATGCAGTTGAACCCCTTTATAAGAGGCATTGATATAAGAGAGAAATTGGTGTAAGAGACGCCCGCTTGCCCACAGCAAAATACGGGTTGATAAGGAAAAGCATACGAGATACCTTGCATATAGAGACATCTCATATGGGACATAAAAATTGCTGCCTGGACCATGCCTACTAAAAAAGGGTTTACCTCTATAATACAAAATATTGTGTTCCAGTCTTTTAATGAACAACAAGAAGTGTAACAGGCGACTCACGTGTATCAAAGACCTCCGCACTGATGACAAGCGGTTGAAACTGCTTTCCGATGTGTCGATGGGAACCACAACGGGTGGGTACTCCAAGGACAAAGCGTGCATTTTCTCCTCGGGAGATGGTAGCATCAATGGCTCCTCACCTCCACTGTCTCGCGCATCTTGGCCAGCTGTGACCAAGCTCGCAGGCTGGAACAGCAAGGCATGTGTATTAAGAATCATGACAGTCTGCACTTAATGCTTCAGCATTACTACACCAGTCAAATGAACCAGACTAATAAAATCGGTAACACGCAGCCACATTTCATATTTACTCAAGGCAATGTTTAACAGTTATTAAGAGCAATAGCACACAACAATAGACAAGCACTCGTGTGCCTAAGTCCTTTGGTTTTACTACAGCAATAATCACCATGATAATTACACAGTCACATATTCTAAATCTGTAGAAGTACTATCATGTAGAAGCAAAACACACCTGAAAACAACATACTACTTCAATCTTATGCTTTAATATTCAACTTCGTCTGTGAATGTGCAAGTCGTAGCCAGACCTTGTGGTACACTTGGTAACAGTGATAAGCGGACATGTTCATTTGCAAACAGCAGCAGCCTTGCTTTTTTTTTCATTGGAGCAGACAGCAACAAAGGCTTTGTTTGTACTAAGTAAATGGGTTACAGAAGTATCTGAACTGACATTAGATGCACAATAATACAATAAATGCACCAATTCATCAGAATGCCTACATGTTTCTAAACATGCGTATGCATTCATTCTCTCTTTTTTTCTCTCTCTCTCTTCTCTCTCTCTCTCACACACACACCCATAAACATACAGAACATTGCCCCATAAGCAAATTTAGCTGTCCTTCAATGTTACGATGCCAACGTGGCCATCAAGATACAAATGACTTCGTAAGCGCTTGTGTTGTGTGTTCTTTGTAATAGTGGCTGCGCTTCCTAGCAAGATGGATCATTACCAACTGGCCCGATACAATTGTTTTCGTAGATCAGATTGATTATTTAAAACTTCACAATGTCAAACACTACAGAGCACCACAGCATACTAGTACTTACTAGCGATGGAAGACACTTTGCAACGAAAACATCTATTGCCCCGAACAGTGTGTGTCTCATATCTTGGCTTGGAAACACTGGAAGGGCCTCACATATCGCACCTGGCATGGCCGAGAAAGCAGTCGCCCGATCAGTCAGACTGGTCTCACGCGCATGACAAGTGAAGCTCTCAAAGCAGCAGCAGCGCTGATAGAAGAGCTCAAATTCCGTTGCCTCGCATGAATGATAAGATGAGGAGCTCGAGCGTAACATAAAACAGAAACAAAAAATGCAAAAAGAAACTGACAATGAAACCTTGGACGAGGCAAATCTAATAGAACGAGCCATTTTGAGACAAAGGAAAAAGGCTCAAGTCTAAACAGGTGTGAGTAACGACGCTCAAGAGAGACGCAACACAGAACTTTTTGCAACTTGCCTGTTTACGTGTGGTAGCTTGGAGCGAGTGTCATGCTCCTTCCTTTGAGCTGTTCGTACTTATGAGCACAATATACATTTTCTAAAAGAGAAGAATATAGATATATGCACCCCCCCCCCCCCTATTTTATGCTTCTGCAATATGGCCATCACAGTACTGTGGAGTTCCAGTAAGTAAATGTGCGATGCTTGACCGCTACAGATGTTCAACTATCTCTAAACCTCATGGAACATGCCTAAGAGTCTATTTTGTTGCCTGCTATCTCCAGCAAAAAATACAATCTGCCAATTCATTATATGTAATACTTCTTTATGTCCATGTTCGCTGCCTCAGAGTTTAAATGCCCAGTTCACTTCTGTACATGCACATTCACATGCGACAATAAAATACCATAACTATATGCGAACATGCGTCACAAACTGTCTTCGCCAAGTGGCACTTTAAACATACTCCGCTGCATCTAGGGCAGTGTACACTCGGTGACAACTTTTCTTGACACTGAAGAAAAAGCTACGAAGGCGGAGCTGTAGCACTACGCGAAGTAGTCCGTTTTGGCACGCGTATTGTAACACTATGGAAAGTAACCTGTCCGCACTACCAACGTTTCATGTAGACACAGATGCCGCTTAGCGTTTGAGGTGCAGGTAAAAAGGGGGGACTTTTTCATGCATTCAAAAATGCGAAGTCACAACGAATAAATGAAAGTATCTTATTAGTAGCAGCTGCGTCCTGTCTCAAATAGCTTCACATAAAGATAAAAGGAAAACGTCTATATTTGACGGTGAAAATACAGGCGCTGTTGTGGAACTACATTCACTGGCGGTAGGATGCCCCCTATTCGGCTCTGTAGCCTTCACTCCTATGCCAAGAAAGGTTGTCGCCAAGCATAGTACTCGATGTGATCGCATACAAAGCCTGTGATGTACTGCTACCACTGAGGAAAAATCTTTTAGGAGCTGAACGCCGCTACACGAGGACGAAAACTCGCCAGACGAGTTTTTGTCATACATTAGAATACATCTGATAATTTACTAATTTTTATCATTTTCGGTACATCAAATTTTAGTTGTCTTGCTTTGACATACAAGATTCGACTCAGCGCAAGCTAGTGCAGTGTAGTACTTCATGTGACCACATACAGAGGCGGTGATGCACTACTACCACTGAGCAAGAAACTTAAGAGCTGAACACCGCTATATGGGGAGAGCAGACAAAGTCACGTGCTTGCGGGGGTTACTATCATGCTAGGGGTATCCAATGGTCGACGAAGGATGCTATTTCAGATTCAGGCAAATTCCACCATCCTGTCAAATTTTGTAATGGCAGCAATTTAGGCCAATCAAATAGGTCGTACGTAGAAGACTGCTGGGCCAATCAGAGTTGCCCAATGGCAGAATTCATAATGCCTCGAAAGTTGCCACTAAAACCGGTTGCATGCATTGTTAGTTTGGTGGCGTTACTGTGGCAGCGTACCATGGTACAACTGTTTTCTTATTATTATATATTATTTTAACACGAAAATGTTTTATGCCCGGGTCCACAACGACTCCGCTAACATATTTCCGTCACGGATGTGACATTGTAAAAATACATACTAACAGATTGCAAAAAAAAACGAGAAGCCAAGCATATGTCGTGCGGAACCTCTCGATTCGCAGCGCGCGGCGCTAACCACTACGCCACGGAGCACACGTTGTCGGTAAAGCGAACGGCAAGCCATATATATACACCACGAAAAAAAAGCTCGTCGTGTGTCGTGACGTAGATTGCCTTTGCGCGAACAGTGCGTTGCGCAGGCAAACCTCATTTACGCGACGGCTTGGGCAAGCAAACTCCACTGTTGCTGGAGCACGAGGCCATCTACTCGTACCAAAAATTCCGCGTAGTTGGCAATATGTAATGTAAAAATGGAATGTGTTGTAGTATAATGGAACGGAAGGGGTTTATTATTGCCTTGAAGCACTTCTTTTACATGAACGTGCATAAACATTACGTTATTTCTTCGTTGTGCACACGTTAGGAGAGGAGCATGAGGGGAGGTGGTGGTTTAGCAGCACCACACAACACGTCGCGCGAACGACCTGCAGCGCTCGTCGCTGTCGCGTGCATTTTCGCGTTTATGGTGTTTGGCCTTGAGATGGCGCGCGACGGACGCGTGCTCTATAGAGTTAGTGTATGATACCTTTAAGTAGCCCTAAATGTAGCATATACAGTAACTTTAGCGCTCTATAGGTCGTCGCCTCCACTGAGCGTGGTCTCTCCTGAGCACGCGCGCTTATGAGGCTCGTAATTCGGTAGAGGACAAAGGTCGCCTCGCTCACAGCCGCGGCCGCGCTTACGAAAGCAGCACTCTGCTGACACACAACGAGGAAGGATTCTGACAGTTCGAGCTTGCCTTCTGTGTACTTGTGCGCTCGTTTCCTGCGCCTTTCTTTCTGTTTGAACAGCGACAGTTGTAAGGCCACGCTCGTCTGTTTACGATAATTTCGCGCGTGCTCTCTGTTTGAGGTGGGCGCTGCAAGTTTTGAGCTGCTTGCAATTCTTAACGTGACTTTGCAATTTGTTGCTATTGCTGAAACAATGCACAATAAACGCTCAACTACCTCTGTGAAGACACGTTTCTTTCGTGTTACACCGGCTTTTTTTTTTTTTTGTTAACTGCTGCTTACGCCTCCGTCGATGCATACTACTCTTGTGACGCTATCTGCAGTCGCCTGCGTAGGCGGCCGGGAGTTTCACTTCCTGATTACATCTTGCTCCGTGCTGCAACTGAGAGAGAGTAAAACTTTATTGAAGGGGAAAGGGAGAGGGGCGTTTTAGAGCCTTTATGGTTGGGGCCCTACGTCCAGGGCTCCACTGGCCTTAGCCGCCCGCCGGACTTGATCCAGTAGTGCGAGCTGCACTCCTGGGTCCGAGCTAGCGAGGTGTGCCTCCCACTGCTCCATACTAGGTGTTAAAGGTTCGCCGAGAAAATTGGTTATGTCGCTTGGTTTACGATCGCACCCCACGATATGTGGTAGAGAGTCGGTCTTCCGCCGCACCACGGACATACAGCCGGGTAAAGAGTTGGATGTATCGCGTGTAACTTCAGTAGGTGCGGAAATACATCCGTTTGAATTTTCTAAGGTCAGTGGCCTCTTCCCCATTAAGGGATCTGTGAGGTGTTCCACATTTTTGACGCGTGAAGCGCTGGTGAGCTAGAATCTCCCTAGGTAAAATTGGCATGGTCAATGAAAGAGATGGATTCTCCGCTCGGTTACAAAACGCACGAGCTAGAGCGTCCGCCCTTTCATTGCCTTCGAGACCTGCGTGTCCCGGGCACCAGATCAAGCGATGGTGGTGAGTGAGTTTGGATCCTAGCAGCCTCAGCCCCATTGCTGGAAGGCGGCCCCTTAAAAAGAGCCGGCAGGCTTCCTGGGAGTCGGATAAAATAACTGATGGCTCCCCTCTACGCTCCTGAAACCTTAAGGCTAAGGCTATGGCCATCGTCTCCGCCTTTGTAGCCGAGGTCGTGCGTACGGAGGCACTCGTTAGCAGCGTCATGTTGTTGTCGACAACAGTAATTATGTGTCTCTGCCAATCGAAACTGGCCGCATCGACGTACGCGACATTTGAAGCTGAGCCGAATTGCTTTCGAAGCCAGTTTACCCTCGCAGTACGTCGCTCAGCGTGAAAGTCGTGATGCATATTTTTGGGCACCGGTGCGATTGAGATTCGCCTGCGGACCTCTTGGGCTACGTCGACCAGCTCCTCATCAATGTGCTGTGGGTGGGGCGAAATTCCTATTCTAGTGAGTATCGCCCTGCCTGCTGAAGTTTCACTTAGACGATTCCTCTGAGACATGAGGACTGCGGCACTGAGCTCAGCATAAGTGTTATGTATACCGAGAGCTAGGAGCCGCTCGGTCGGTGTGCTGGTGGGTAGACCAAGTGCTGCCTTAAAAGCGCTTCTAATGAGCACATCCACCTGGCTCTCCTCACTTCTGTCGAGTGAGTGGTACGGTAGGCCATACGTCACTCTGCTCAAAACTAAGGCCTGGACAAGCCGGAGAGTATCCTTTTCTTTCATGCCTTTTTTATGATAAGTGATGCGACGGATCATTCTAGCTATCTGTTTAACCGTAGTCTTTAAGGTGGTTATCGTGTGACTGGCTTTGCCATTGCTTTGGACCCAGAAGCCAAGTATACGGGCCTGAGTAACCTCGGCTATGGCATGGCCGTCTACCTGTAAGTTTATGTCACCGTTACTTTTGTAATACTTACTGTGTATTCTTATGAGTTCAGATTTTTCAGGCGCACAGCTCAGCCCACTTTTTCTTGCGAACTCTGCCACAGCTGTCGCAGCAGCCTGGAGGGTCTGCTCTTTCAGCGCCAGTGAACCCTTCGTAGCCCAGAGTGTGATGTCGTCCGCATACAATGTATATCCAAGGTGCGGGATTGCTTCGAGCTCGTGAGCAAGTCTGCGCATAGCTATGTTAAAGAGCAAGGGGGAGATGACTGCCCCTTGCGGTGTGCCTTTATTTGGCATCGAGAACGGCACCGACCTCGTGTCGCCTATCCCAATAGTTGCCGTCCGCCCAGAGAGGAAGGATTTAATGTAGTTAAATGTACGCTTTCCGCAGCCGATTGTGTTGAGTTCAGAGAGAATGGCCTCGTGCGAAACATTATCAAAGGCCCCTTTGAGGTCGAGGGCCAAGATCAAATGTTCGCCTCCCCTGGGTACGCAACTCATGACCTCTTCTTTTAAAAGGAGGAAGGCATCCTGGGTTGAGAGTCCGGAGCGAAAACCAATCATGGTAGCGGGAAACAGATTTTCTTTTTCAATGTAATTTTGAAGCCGTGTCTGTACTACTCGCTCGTAGAGCTTGCCCATGCACGAAGTAAGCGAAATGGGCCGCAGGGCTCCGAGCGATGGTGCTTTACCGGGCTTTGGTATAGTTATTATTTTGGCTTCCTTCCACTCCGGAGGAACGTGACCTTGGGACCAGCAGTGGTCGTTAAGAAATTGCGTTATCTGCTCAAGAACCTCAGTGCTGAGGTTTCTTATCATAGCGTTTGTTATACCATCCGACCCCGGCGCAGAGTTCCGATTGGCTGCCTGGGCTGCCGCGAAAACCTCTTCTTTCGTGATTGCGGCGTCTAATGTGGCATTCTCGCTGCCGATGTACTCTAATGTACATGGCGGAACCACATCAGTACCGATATAACGGTCTTTAAGCGCCTGGATCAACTCTCCGTCGGTGCCGGGGTAGCTGTGTACTATTCTTTGAAGAATGCGGTTCATGGAGGACTTAGATTTGTCCGGCTCCAGCATGGACCTCAGTATCGCCCACGTCTGGCTAGTCCCTAGTGTACCGCGGAGAGAACCGCAAAACTGCACCCAACCATCGGTGGCAAGTTTCGTTGCGTATTCATTCGCTTCCTCCGACAGAGCAGCGATTCGCCTGTAGAGGCAGCGGTTGAGGCGTTGTTTTTTCCATCTCTTGATCAGGCGTCGCCTACTATCCCACATGTGCAATAGGTGCCGGTCTATCGCAGGCGCCTCAACTGTGCGCGCTATTTTCTTAGAGGTGGCATCATGCGTTTCTCGAATGAAAGCAACCCACCCACTGACATCACAGGGCGTTTGCTCCGGCAGAGGGCGCTTTCGAAAGGTCACCCAGTCTGTCATCACAACGTCACCAGCGACACGACGAACTTTGGTGATGCTATAGAGGTGCTAAGAATATAATGGTCACTACCAAGGTTTTCATCGAGGTTTGACCACGTGGCATTTTTAATGTTGAAGGTGAAGGTCAAATCAGGGTACGTGTCCCTGCTAATGCTATTACCAAGCCTGGTGGGTGCTGTTGGCAGAGTGATAAGGGTAAAACCTAATTTAGACGTGGTGTTCTCTAATAACACTCCCTTGGGTGAATCCCGGACGTAGCCCCAAGCGGTGCTCGGAGCATTAAAGTCGCCCACCACCACTAATTGATCTCTGGTGCCAACGGCTCGAACTGCCTCGTTTAGGAGTGGGCCGAAGTCGTCTTTCCGGTTTTTGGGAGGACTGTATATGTTTAAAATTTTCGTTCGTACTTTTCCTCGTTTTTGTGGGAAGACATCGATAATTTGGTGATTAATGTCAGTCTGATCGTAATGGTCTAGCGCGACTGTCATGAAGTTACTCACCAGCGCTGCAACGCGGGGGTATTTTGGATCGTATAATGTGTAATATCCCTGCAATTTGACGGGACGGTTCCCAACTTCTTGCAGGCATATTACATCAGGTGGGATTAGACTGAGCAAAGCGCTGGAGACGCGCGTGAATGCGTCGGATAATAGCACTCACCCTTCGCGTCTCGATGTCCAGTACGTTCCTTGCTCGCGAGGCGTCGCCCCAGACGGGCATGCAGAGGAACAGTCTGCGGGGCGAGTCCTCGGCGCCGCTCCCATCGTCTGCGACGACGTCTCGAATCACGTGCAGGGCCGGCGTGGCCGCCGCGAGCTCGTACAGCTGGCGCACCCGTTGGGGCCTCGAGTCCGGCGTGAACAGGCAGTTGGCATGCTCGTAGCGCGTCCGGTAGTGCTCCTTCAGTTGGCTGAACTTGGTCAGGTCCCCTAAGGCTGCACAGAGCGAAAGCGTACGCAGAGGTTACCAGGGGCGCGGATTTTTTTTTTTTACGTTTTCTCAGGGAGGCAATGAATCATTGTTACCGAAATGTGTAATGTCATCGCATAGAGGTGTGTGCGTGGGCAGGGATCACCATTAGGGGGAGCTACGCCAAATAAACAATGAAAATGCAGCGATAAGTTGCTGCTCATACAACGGCCGATGGTAAATGTCGGAGCAAGGAGTTCTTGGAATGCTACACCGTTATCTTCATTGTCACCAATCTGAGTGCCGTCTTTCAAAAACCTGCATGGTCTTAATTAACACTGCAATTAAAGGGGCACGGCAACACTTCTTCAGGTAATGATGAAATGGCTTCAATAAAGGAGTTAATTACACCATAAAGGTGGCCACCGCAAAAAAAAAAAATTTACAAGCTGTCAAGTACGAGCGTAACACGCAGGCATTCACCGCACAACTCTTTCCTTTCGTGCCAGCGAGCGCCCCGCCGCGGTGGTCTAGTGGCTAAGGTACTCGGCTGCTGACCCGCAGAGCGCGGGTTCGAATACCGGCTGCGGCGGCTGCATTTCCGATGGAGGCGGAAATGTTGTAGGCCCGTGTGCTCAGATTTGGGTGCACGTTAAAGAACCCCAGGAGGTCTAAATTTCCGGAGCCCTCCACTACGGCGTCTCTCATAATCATATAGTGGTTTTGGGACGTTAAACCCCACATATCAATCAATCGTGCCGGCGAGCGCGCTGAGAGCTACGCGAGAAGGGAAAGGGGCGCTGCAAGGGAGCAAGTAGTTTTGTCTAGTTTAGTCCGTTCGTTAGCACGCATCATGACCTTGAGTACAACCACGGCCACTGGATGAAAGAGCGCCTTTTCATCCAGCGGCCACGGTAGAACACTCAAGCGCGCGAAAACTAGGAGAAAAGGAGGTGGTGACAACACAAGCGCGCATGTTGGCATCCCTTCCCTCTGTCCTTGTTTACGCGCGCTTATGTATTCTGCTTTGCAAAATCGACAGGCCCAAAATCAGTGCTGTTACGAGCTTGAACTCTTTTTTTTTTTTCCCGAGCACGCGGCTTATTTTCATATATATATATATATATATATATATATATATATATATATATATATATATATATATATATATATATATATATATATATATATTGTGTCTCGCAGTGCATGTGACAAGACACCGAGACAATATCAACTGTAGCCTATGGCCTGTAATGGTCCCGAAGCAACCGGACACAGTACAACATTCAGTCTTCGTCGAGCGTGAATTCGACGCGCCCGCCACCTCGCGAGTGTCATGTTATCAATTACACCCTTCCCCTGTCCACTTGGTGAGCCCTGAACCGTTTCGAATCGGGCACTTAACAATATTCACTTAAATCCGTCAGCGAGGAAAACTGCCCGGCCCAAATCGTGCGTGCTTTTCGATAGAAGATTGGTCCGGCCTTGACCTACATCTATCCAAACGTCAAAAACTCCATCTAAGAGACTTTCTTTGTTTTTGATGACTGGCGCAGATCGGTCGTGCTGATGCATCCCGCAGATCTCGGTGTCAACTCGCCATATCCTAAATGCACATCAACGACGCACTTCGCTTAACGTGTAATCGCTCAAGTTTAAACTGATAACGAAAATGATTCGAACGCAATCACAACAAGGTTGATAAGGGAGTCGCCCGAGCGAAAACTCCTGCTTCTTGCGTAGGTCTTAGTGTAATTCAATATCCTACGCTTAAAGTGGCTCTCAAAACTTGAAGCACCTGATTTTTTTTTTGTGTGTTTTGCGCCGACCGATGGATGGGGTTAATGTGAGTGAAACCCGATGAAGTTGCTTGGCCCGGGCGCCTGTCTAAAGTCCCTCTATCTACCTTACGCCTGTCGAGTCCATAGCGCCCTCTCTTGCGCGGCGTGGGTATTAGCCGGATAAGTCAGAAAAGCCATTTCGCGATTTCAAGTAAATTATTTGAATTAATACTTGTTTTTGTGTAGTATGTATTATTTTAGACACTTTACTTCACACTAGTTACTTCACACTAGTTTTCAGCATATACTACTAATGCTCAAAACCAGTGCAACTGAGACCTAAAATAAAGCTACAGTCTTTCTTTAGGCTACAGCTTCAAACCTGCGTGACCATGCGCGACGTGAGACACAGCCGGATCTATCGGAACACAAATGTGCCACGCACTTAGAAGAGAGGATAAAAGTGATTTTCCGCGTTACAAGCCCCCCCCCCCACACACACACACACATGTGGGCCCCCCCCCCCCCCCCCCCCCCTCAAAAAAAAATCCTGGCTATGGGCCTGGGGAGGGGGTCCAAAACACTCCCCCTTTCTGAAATCCTTTCTATTTTGCATGTTATATATACACTCACACATACAAACACTCGCACGGACAACATCAAGGGCACTTAATTGCCCCCTCTGCCACGCCTGAAAAAAAAAAATTCTGCTGCACCCTCCTGTACGAGTCAACCGGGCACTGCAATCTCTCCAGCGCGCACGTCTATTTCAGTTTCTTTCAAGCTCGAATTGCGATGAAAATTCAGTTGTTTTTTTTTTTTTTTGTCTTCGGCAAAGATCACATTCACTTTTGCACACCGGTATTTCCAACACGTCCCAAGATTACAAACCTCACAGAGCACCCGCTGAAATATGTATAGCCAAACACACACGCCGGAATATTCGGGCCGTACTATCTTTTGCAAAGCGCTGCTTTGCTAAGAACACAAGGAGCAGCGGACATCACAGACCAACCTCTCATGTCAGTCTTCTCTGACTTTACTTCCTCCTCCTCTCTCCTCAAGTGCAGGGTAGCTAACCGGACTCGGCCTTGGATAACCTCCCTGCCGGGGGGTGACACTAAGGGCCCGTGCCCCCCCCCCCTTTCGAAAAAAATTTCTGGCTACACGCCTACTGCCTGCCTTTCTTCTATTATTCTCTCTCTCATATGCATAATAATAATAATAATAATAATAATAATAATAATAATAATAATAATAATAATAATAATAATATACACTTGCGGGCACGATAGTTCAGCGCATATTGCACACTTTTTCTACGTACCGTACTTGCTAAGTTTCCGTACGCTCTTTCCAGGACTGCGACGACGACACTAAACTATCCGAGCATTGCCCTGGTGCATGTGAAAACACGCCGATCCATCGCACCACGAGTACACGTACGCACTGCCACGCACCACCGAACTGGTGGACCGGTCGAGTCGTTTCACAGATCAACAGCAGGCGGACACACAACACTGTAACTAACGCAAGCGTTGCCGACGAAAACGACGATGCAGTCAGAAGAAGGACAAACTCATTTAAAACACCACGAAAGAGGCGCGAAAGCGCACGCAGCCAGCGAGCGCTTCACCTAACTGCTACGACACCGCAATGATCATCGCGAAGCTCGAACACAGCACGTCTCACCCGCAGTTCACAACGCGCACCCATGGAAAAGAGCGCAGACTACAGAGCCTGTGCCGGACCCCCCTGCACACGTATCCAATAACAACGCGTCGGCGGCGGCACAAAATCAGTACCTACATAAAGAAAGAAGCACGATGACGAAAACGAAAGAAGAGCGTGGCCAGTTTCGAATGCCAGCACTTCTGAAGCAGCGGCAGATGTAGAAGCTTTCGGGACATGTGCATACTGGCCGGAAGGACGGGGAGGGGCCACCGCCACAAAAGACCCGGAGGGGTGCACGATATAGAGGGAGAGGAGGCCAGACAGGTAGGGGAGGAAGAAAAAGCCCCCAAACATCGATATATCGACGGCTGCGGAAGGAAGCAAACACCGCGGGCGACTTATGCCTGCCCGCGGCTGCTGGCCAGGGTCTGAACCGAATGTAGTAGTAGTGCGTAGGTTTGGGGTTGGGAAAGAGAAAAAGCGTGCCTGTGTATGAGCGTGAGAGAGAGTAACAGAGATGACATGTGTGTCCAAGAGTGTATGTTGGTGCACGCGCATCTATGTGAGTACGTGATTGTCAGGGAAGCGTAACACTCACTTCCCCATGTGGTGCCCTCGCTAAAGTGATCTTGTTTTGACGACGAAGCAGGGAGAGAATGTATACGGCTCGGTTGGACAAGGCAGAGGGAAAGGAGAGGGAAGACTGGTGCGCTTCGCGAAGAAGGCCATCACATTTGCCTGCAGGACTGTTTGCCGTCTGTCTGCAGATCGTACATGTTCCATCGGTATCGTCTCTTTTTACTAGCTGCTATCATCTCTTCTGTCTACGTACACATACTTGCGTTCATTCAGCTCCGAAGCATAGAACCCCCTTCTATCCGTCGCCGGAAGTTATTGCCCCCTTAGTGATCGTTGGTCGTTATTTCGTGGTAAAAAGCTTTCGGTCAAAGCGCTTTTTCCTTCGCGGGTGAGTGTTTCTCTTTTGCTTCGTCTCGTTTCCTTTGTTTTAACTGGCCGCCTCCGACAAGCGGGGGGATCCCGTCTCCAGTCAGGCACGCCGGCACCACTACGAAAAACTTAACACCCTTATGCGTATAAACAGTTTGTCTCGGGGATGACACTTTTCGGGTGTATATCAACATTCGTAGCGAACGAAGGGTACATAACACGTGACCGATGCGAGACCGCCACAGACTCCTATCCGACCGACACTCCCACAGATTTTTATCTAGTCATCTTTAGCATTACTGTCAGCCTTATTTGAATTCACGTTTGCACTCACGTCTACTCCCCGGTATTCCAAAGCGTTGTCGTTCATACACAATTTACCTATTTGTTGATCAGAGGCGTAAAATACATAGGAAAGTGTTGGTGTCTTGATCCCCCCCCACCCCCACACACACACCCACACACCGAATCTTCCAGGAACGTTATTAGTAAATATATCTTATGCTGCTATCTCTCCCAAGAAAAACGACATTACTGGTTTGCAAGCACTTGCAACTCTCTTTCAAAAATACAAAGTCAAACAGTGCCAAGAACAGCCCCGATTACGACAGATATTGGTGTTA